GAAATTTTCATCGATAATTTACAAAATTCGCTATAAAATTAATTTCTTGAAGGATCCTTGTGGAAATATCACCAATTATTAATTAAAGTATCCTCTTTTTAATGCAAAAACCCGTTTTGAAAAATCACTTTCAGTTCTTGAGAAAAAAATTTTTGAAATGATCGACAATTTTTTCGAATTTTGCATTTTTCGCCGAATAAGTTTTAAAAATTCGTATAAAATCCATTTCTTGGAATATGAGTTTAAAAATTTCCCAAAGTGTTAATAAAAGTGTCTTCTTTCCAATGTACCAATCCGTTTTGAAAAATAACTTTTAGTTTTTGAGAAAACAATATTTGAAGTTTTGAGAAAAATTTTCGATGTTGCAATTTTTAAAATTCGCTAAAAAATTAATTTATTGAAGAATCCTTGTGGAAATATCACCAACTATTAATTAAAGTATCCTGTTTTTAATGCAAAAAGCCGTTTTGAAAAATCACTTTTAGTTCTTGAGAAATAAATTTTTTGAATGATCGATAAATTTTTCGAATTTTGCAATTAAGTTTTAAAAATTCGTATAAAATCCATTTTTTGGAATATCAGTTTGAAAATTTCTCAAAGTGTTAATAAAAGTGTCCTTTTTCTAATGCACCAACCCATTTTGAAAAATAACTTTTAGTTTTTGAGAAAACAATATTTGAAGTTTTGAGAAAATTTTCGACGTTCAATTTTCACCAATAAATTTCAAAATTCGCTATAAAATTAATTTCTTGAAGGATCTTTGTGGAAATATCACCAATTATTAATTAAAGTATCCTCTTTTTAATGCAAAAAGCCGTTTTGAAAAATCACTTTTAGTTCTTAAGAAAAAAATTTTTGAAATAATCAATATTATCGAATTTCGCAATTCTCGCCGATTAAACTTTAATAATTCGTATAAAATCCATTTCTTGGAATATGAGTATGAAAATTTCCCAAAGTGTTAATAAGAGTGTCCTCTTTCCAATGAACCAACCCGTTTTGAAAAATAACTTTTCGTTTTTGAGAAAACAATGTTTGAAGTTTTGAGAAAATTTTCGATGTTGGAATTTTCACCAATAAATTTCAAAATTCGCTATAAAATTAATTTCTTGAAGGATCTTTGTGGAAATATCAACTATTATTAATTAAAGTATCCTCTTTTTAATGCTAAAAGCCGTTTTCAAAAATCACTTTTAGTTCTTGAGAAACAAATTTTTGAAATAATCAATTTTTTCGAATTTTGCAATTTACGCCAATTAAGTTTTAAAAATTCGTATAAAATCCATTTCTTGGAATATGAGTTTAAAAATTTGCCAAAGTGTCCTCTTTCCAATAAACCAACCCATTTTGAAAAATAACTTTTAGTTTTTGAGAAAACAATATTTAAAGTTTTGATAAAATTTTCGATGTTGCAATTTTCATCGATAATTTTCAAAATTCGCTAAAAAATTAATTTCTTGAAGGATCCTTGCGGAAATATCACCAATTATTAATTAAAGTATCCTCTTTTTAATGCAAAAAGCCGTTTTGAAAAATCACTTTTAGTTCTTGAGAAATAAATGTTTGAAATGATCGACAATTTAGTTTTTGAGAAAACAATATTTGCGTCAAAGATGCGCATCAAAATAGTTTTGGAACGCATCAAACTAAAGTTTTTAGGCGAACCGAAAAGATTTTGAACTAGTTCGAACTATTTTGATACTTACCAGTACGGTATTTTGCCACACACCACTTTAAACAGTTCTGGAACGTACTGAATCTGTTTTGGTGAGCATTAAAATGGTTTTGGTGCATATTAAACTAGTTTTGATGCGTACAAAAACGATTTTGACATGTACCAGAACGTTTTTTCTTCCGATACTGTTGCGGTCTATCTGTTAGATGCATTACAACGCTTCTGCTGTGCACTAGAATTGTTTTGGTTCATACCAGTGTGACTCAGCATGCTGCAAATGTTTTGGTTAACACCAAAATTGATTTAGTACTGTTATTAAATGCACATAAAAAGTTTTGATGCGCACTTAAACATTTTTGATACGAACCAAAACGGTTCTAGACCCCAGATAAATTTTTGGACGAATCGCCAAAGTTCTGAACAAGTTGTTGTATACATTGTAACTGTTCTGGGACTTGAACGAACGATTTTATACGGAATTTTACTATGTCAGTTGAGTACCAGAATGTTTTTTTTTGTGGAATATTTAAATATTACCTACCTTCACATCGTCCACTTCGCGTATTCTTTAAAAATCCAATATCACACTCCAATCGACTTGGACAATGTTCACATGGATGTCCCCAAGCTTTCCCAACGGTGGCACAACACATAGTTTTCGTGCAAACAACCCCCTCGAGTTGATTCGCACACAAAGCACCTCTATATCCGGTATAACAAGGTCCGGTTCGATAATCAATCTCGCAAAAATTTCCTTGGAAGCCATAAACGCAAGCGCATCTGTCCGGGCCAATGCATTTCCCACCATTTTTGCAACCATCAACACAAATCGCTGTAAAATGAAACATTAATAAAAAAAAGTGTGTTTGTATTCAATTTTTTACGTTCTGTGCAAAATTCCCCTTGATAACCAGCTGAGCAAACACATTTTCCATCAACGCAAGTTCCTCCAAACATGCACATTGCTCTGCATCCGCTTGGTGGTCCAGCAGATCTTAATCTTGAATCGTCGCAGGATGGTGAAGTGCTCCCGTCGGAGCATCTGCAAACATTTGGTTGAACACATCGGCCGGAAGAACCACAAGATCTCAAACAAATTGCTAAAAATTACAATCAAAAATTAGAATTGATTTCAAAATTTGGTCAAAGTTTGATGGAAAACTTACGGACTACGCAAAGATGAAGGGATGGATGTTTTTTCCAACCGGGGCAACAATAAGTTTTAGTTCTTGATCTGCAGACGTTTGGGCTAAAATAATAATAAAAAACTTTTAGTTTCCATAGAAAAAAAATGTTTTCGTCATAAATTTTGAAAGTCAAATCAATCAATTTCATTGCTCGCAATGAAACGTCGCTGTCCAAAACGAAATCTTCGATCGCACGTGCGAAACTCAGTGGCTACACAAACATCTCCAAATTTCTCGAAAAACGAAAACATGATTAATTCGATGGCCGTGTTATGGACGAAAAGTTTTCGCCGAGAACCCAAAGTTATTTTAACGAAAATCTCCGATTCACAAATTAATTGTATCCTTAAAAAATCGAATAACGCAAAAAAGAAAGAAAAACCAGGTCCCAAATCATCTAAAATTAAAAGGGCGCAACGTAGAAAATCGATTTTATCTAAAATTAGTGAAATTGATGAAAACGAGGATGATAATAAAAATCAAGATATAATTAGCAGAAACAATCAAGTTTTAAATCCAGATTTAAATATAACTGCTCCTATTTCGTTTGCTGTAATCGAAACTTCAACACCAATAAATCACCATTCTCATTTAGTTTTATTAGAAAATCAAAACGATAAACAACAAATTTTAGAAAACGAAATTAATAACAATAACGAATTAAAATCGAATTTAGAAGAAATAATCAACGAAAATAGATTCGAGTTAATAACGCCGTTATTTAATCGAAATATAAGCGAGAACTCAATTGTTAATGCTGAAAGGAAATTCCGAAATGAAAATGAATCTTATGATTCGAAATCGTTTGGAGGAAAATCCCAAGAATATAATGGTAGAGATGAAAGTTTTAGATATACCACTGTTAATAATGTTTCTATTAAAGCTGATACAGTTTTTATTCGTAATTATTATTACAAGTAAGATTTACAATAAATGTTAAATTTGATATTTTCTTTAATTAAAAAGATATTAAGTAACCTCGACATAACTATTATCGATCTTTTCGAGATGGTTTTCAAAGTTCCAAAATTATAGCAAAGAGCAAAAAATATCTCCTTGTGTCATTGAGATAAATGATATCCAGATACGACATTGAAAATTAAAAATAATTAATCGTTTCGATCTACTAGGATGTTGTCAGTTTATGCATTTGTTGATTTTCATTGGTTGTTTGTCATAGTTGACAAATTTAACGAAAATTCCACGTCATAACAATTTTTTTAATCTTCAAATGCGAGATATGCTTTGTGTTTATGCACAAGAAAATTATTCCTGCCTTGCTGCTGCTTGAAGATATCAAGGCATGTATCAAACAGAGCTTAACGTAATCGCAAAACTTTCAGTAACATTTTTTGTGGATTAGGAGAGACTGGATTTAAGCCCAAAAATGATGTGGGACGACCTAAAAATTTGATTGTTGATCAAGAACGAATCGCTGATAATCCTGAACTAAGCACTCGGCGTTTATCAGCAATGACTGGAGTAAGCTACTCAACAGGTTTTCAATTACTAAAACAAGAAAATTCTTCAATAGTCATTATTTGACACGTAGTATTATTATTAATTAAACACCCTGTAGATTTGTCTGAAGAAACAGTGATGACAACCATCACAAGCACATTTTTTACGATTATACAGGACGTTTTTGTAAGTCGTGACATAAATTTAATCTTCATGTTTGTAATCTTCATTAAAAATCCTTTAAAATGAGTACAAACACGACATATTTATCTTCAATATTAATGAAGTTATGGTCAACTTCCGGTTAGAAATGTCAACGTCAATTTTGACATATTTGTAATCGTCGTGAAAAATCCTTTAAAATGAGTCCAAACATGATACGTTTAATTCCAATATTACTCGAGATAAAAGCATCTTCCGGTTTGAAATGTCAACGTCATTTTGACATATCCTTAATTTTTATAAAATGTCTTAATATTTGTAACAAAAACAAAAATATAATAAAAAAAAATCAAAAATTAAGGTTGTATTAATATATAACAATTAAATTGCCATCTTCATTGTTGCTAACTTCGGGTTTAATGTTCTTTATCCAAACTTTTTTGTTTTTTGAGATAAATGCGTCTTGTTTGGACTCATTTTAAAGGTTTTTTTTTAAATAAAAAATACATCATGAAAGAACACCATGAAGTTGTCTATTTGTCTATTATATGATAACCAACTTCAGGTTTGAAATGTCAACCTCAATTTTGACATATTTGTAGTCTTCATTAAAAATCCTTTAAAATGAGCACAAACACGACATATTTATCATCAATATTAATGAAGTTATGGTCAACTTCCGATTAGAAATGTCAACGTCAATTTTGACATATTTGTAATCGTCGTGAAAAATCCTTTAAAATGAGTCCAAACATGATACGTTTAATTCCAATATTACTTAACTTCCGGTTTGAAATGTCAATGTCATTTTGACATATTCTTAATTTTTATAAAATGTCTTAATATTTGTCACAAAAACAAAAGTATAAAAAAAAAAATAAAAAATTAAGGTTGGTATTAATATTTAAAAATTAAATTGCTATCTTCATTGTTGCTAACTTCGGGTTTAATGTTTTTTATTCTAACTTTTTTGTTTTTTGAGATAAGTGCGTCATCTTTGGACTCATTTTAAAGGTTTTTTAATGAAGATGACAAATATGTCAAAATTGACGTTGACGTTTCAAACCGGAAGTGATTGTATCTCCATTAATATCAAAGTTAAATATGTCGAGTTTGGACTCATTTTAAAGGATTTTTTATGAAATTAACAAATATGCCAAAATTAACAGTTGAAAGTTATTTTATGAAGATTACGAATATAATAATAAAATTAAAGTTGACACATAGCTTTGAGTAGACGGAATAGCGCCGGTTCCTTTCTCCCTTTTCTTTTCTCTTCTCTTCTATTCTCTCTGTCTTCCTTCGGTGCCCTTTCTATTCTTTTCTTTTTCTATTTGTTTTTCTTGTTCTCTCTCTTTTTTTTTTGATTCTGCAACGTACATCGTATTGTGTCATTTAGTTTAATTTCTAGTAGTAGTAATTTAATTTGAGGAGTGATGAAAAACAGTGGGCTTGCACCATTGACTGGTGCTAACCAAACTGACTCAATCCTCTTTGGTTCATTGTTTCGAATTTAATTTGTTTATTTCCAATGTATTTACTGTTATTATTATTTATGTGAACCAATAAATATTGTTTATTATTATTATTATTATTATTATATTTGTAATCCTCATTAAAAATCCTTTAAAATGAGTACAAACACGACATATTTATCTTCAATATTAATGAAGTTATGGTCAACTTCCGGTTAGAAACGTCAACGTCAATTTTGACATATTTGTAATCGTCGTGAAAAATTCTTTAAAATGAGTCCAAACATGATACGTTTAATTCCAATATTACTCGAGATATAAGCAACTTCCGATTTGAAATGTCAATGTCATTTTGACATATTCTTAATTTTTATAAAATGTCTTAATATTTGTCACAAAAACAAAAATATAATAAAAAAAAATAAAAAATTAAGGTTGGTATTAATATTTAAAAATTAAATTGCTATCTTCACTGTTGCTAACTTCGGGTTTAATGTTTTTTATTCTAACTTTTTTATTTTTTGAGATAAGTGCGTCATCTTTGGACTCATTTTAAAGGTTTTTTAATGAAGATGACAAATACGTCAAAATTGACGTTGACGTTTCAAACCGGAAGTGATTGTATCTCCATTAATATCAAAGTTAAATATGTCGAGTTTGGACTCATTTTAAAGGATATTTTATGAAGTTGACAAATATGTCAAAATTAGTAGTTGAAAGTTCTTAGTATACTTTTACAAACTAAAACTGGAACTAAATTTAGTTATAAAACTAGAATCATTCACTTCACTTTTTGCCTCCTAATCGTTTGGAAGGTTATTGCTCCATCTTTTTCTATGTCTTCCAATGCTTCTTCATCCTGATGGTGATTTATGGTTATTTTCACAATTCGTTCTTCTGTCATTCGGACGATGCGCTCATTCCATTTCTTCTTTCTGCCCAATCCATTGATGACATTGAAAGTAGCACCTTTTATCTTCAATTTGTGATATAAATCGTTTCTTAACTCCAATAAATAAAGTCAATCACATTTTCTTAAATTTTGACATTTTCGAACGCATCCTAATTATTATTATACAACCTTATACACATTTTTATCATAAACACGGCAATTTTTATATCATACCTTAAAATAATTATCTTTTATCTTTAATTTGAGATATAAATCGTTTCTCTTAATTCCAATAAATAAATTCAATGACATTTTCTTAAATTTTAACGTTTTCGAACGCATCCTAATTATTATTATACAACCTTATATACATTTTTATTATTAACTCGGCAATTTTTATATCATACCTTAAAATAATTATCTTTTATCTTTAATTTGAGATATAAATCGTTTCTCTTAATTCCAATAAATAAAGTCAATGAAATTTTCTTAAATTTTGACGTTTTCGAACGTATCCTAATACAAGTTAATTCCTTTTAAAGATCTTTTTTCACAAATGTTTATCATTAACACGGCAATTTTTATATCATACTTTAAAATATCGTCTTTTATCTTCAATTTGAAATATAAATCGTTTCTTAACTACAAAAAATAAAGTTAATGAGATTTTTTTTTAATTTTGACGTTTTCGAACGTATCCTAATTGATCCTAATTTAACTTAATTCCTTTTCAAGTCTTTTTCTGTAGAAATGTTTATTACTAATAATAATAAATCTGAAGTGTTAGTTCTAGTTTTACACTTGCACTGTCACTAAAACTAACATTAGACCTAGAACTAGAATCATTTGGGTTTAGCCGCACGTCTCTAAAGACGGCTAAACCCGAATGATTCTAGTTCTAGGTCTAGTGTTAGTTTTAGTTCTAAATCTAATGATAATTTTACTTTTAATTCAATAAAAATATACATACAACAATCCAACGCTGTATGAGCACGAGGAGTTATTTTGAAATCGATATCATTTCTTAATCTTCATAAATAAATTAAATAAAATAAAACCTTGAATCTAAATTCATTTCAAAAACGAATTTTCTCGTTTTATTATTTCAAAATAAGTTTAAATAGATAATTTTTTTTAAATGACGTTTCATAAATTATTTTGACGTTTAAAATTGTTTCCTACTTTACCGATATTATTTAAAATGAATAATTTTTTTTTGTTGGTAATAATTTATACAAGGATTAGAACATTTCTTTTTAAAAACCTAAAAGTGTTTTAATCTTATCGTTTCTAATTAATCTATTAAGGGTAACAGAAAAATTAGAATTAAATTGCTTCTAGGCCACGACCGCCCACGATCAAACCACGTAACAGTCCTCGTTGACATCTTATCGTCCGCCAATCGCAATCGTTTACACGAATTCCGCCGTCACCGCTATTTTCAATTTTAAAACGGGACGCTTTTAAACTACTTCGTTTTTTCTCTGTATATTAAACGGGCAAGTTACTGTTAATTGAGCCGCAACTACATACTCTTCTTTATACCAATTCCGACCAATTGAATCCTATTTAATTCCTTCTTTAACTTACCCTCCAACTTTAATCGATGATCCACCCTGGTGATCAGCTGATCCGATATTTGGCGATGCAGCAAACGCCCTCTCTTGGTCTATTAACGAGGTTATTAATAGTAATAACGCGGAAAACCGCGATTTCCTATTAAAAAGAAAAATTAATAAACATAAAAATATTTATAGAAATTATTATTAATGTTTTAAAGAAATTGTTTAGTTTTTGAACTCATCTCGCGGAAGCGTTAATGAGATAACCCGACGCGGAAGTAGTAAGAGATAATTTCGAAAACGGTCATCAATTTCTCCATACAGCATTCATTCATCTTAAAAAAAAATTATTTTAACACTTACATTATGAAAAGTGTTTGCGCACTTTTCTTAAAAAAAACTTTATCACCTCAATATTGAAATCAATTTGGCACAAATTTTCTTTCGGCACTTTTTACTTTTAATTCGACGATTTATTTGAATTTTTTTTCTTCATTTTAAATAATAAAACTCATCGTTGGTCACGATCTAAAAGAGTGGGTACAGTGTAACGCTGAAATTTATCAACTAAACCGTGATATGTGTTCTGTTGGATGAAGAAGGTTGAACTGAAACTGTGGGCGATGGAAATGCGTTTGTCGTTGTCTTTTTGAATTGTCCGAAATTTGTACGGGGCTCGTGGCCTTGCTTTACGTTTTAAGTACAAACTACATTCAAAATAATTTACGACAAAGATGTTCTCTTCTGTAATCAGTTCAACACTAGTACTAACAAGCAGATAATTTTACACAACACTAATAGAAGGATATTATACGAAAAAGAAAGGAGAAAGAAGAAGGAGAGCGCGAGTTGATTGCGTTCCCAACAAAAACTAATTTTAGATTAGGATTTTAACATGTTTTCTTTTACGATTAAATAATCTTTATTGGGTAGTTTCATTATAATTGGATTAGGAGGACTTTAACAAAAAAAAATCTTATTTTTAACTCAAATTCAATCTATTTAGATTATTCAAACTTATTTCTTTAATATCAAATTTAACACATTTCATTAATAATAATTTAAACTACTTTATATTATGAATTTTTTAAAATTGATTAGTTGTATGCAACCCAATACACACCAAATAGCCTAACTTCATTTCTCCTCAAAGGGATGGAAAAAGTAATTGATCAATACCCTAGGAATGGAGTGCTTATCACTAATCCATTAATATAAAGCAAAATCAGTAATTTCCAATGCAGAATTTTATGGTCAGGGATCAACAAGCAGTTTTCAAAATCCTCTCCACTCCATATCTGTGTGGGTACCATTAAAAACTGTCTTCTTGATGAGGGATTGATGAATGCGAAACATAAATTTCAATGCAAGGTCTGGTGATTATCAACTGGCAATGATAAGTAATAAATAGCTGAAAAATTCCCAGTTTCCAAATTTGTTAATGGAAAAAAACGATATTCCGAGTATGATACAAAAAAATTTTTGGAACAAAAGTTGTAGCAAATTTTACCCTTTACACTTTGCTTTGTAACACTTTTGCTCTCAGATGCATCAGTGTAGAGATATATTCGAAAATATGAAAATTGGAAAAATTCGTAGTTTCACAATTGGTTAATAAAAAAAAAACAGTATTCCGACTATGATACAAAAAAACTTTTAGAATAAAAGTTGTAGCAAATTTTACACTTTACACTTTGCTCTGTAACACTTTTGCTCTCAGATGCATCAGTGTAGAGAAATATTCGAAAATATGAAAATTGGAAGAATTCGCAGTTTCACAATTGGTTAATAAAAAAAAACGGTATTCTGAGCATGATACAGAAAAACTTTTACAACAAAAGTTGTAGCAAATTTTACACTTTACACTTTGCTCTCTAACACTTTTGCTCTCAGATGCATCAGTGTAGAGAAATATTCGAAAATATGAAAATTGGAAAAATTCGTAGTTTCACAATTGGTTAATAAAAAAAAAACAGTATTCCGAGGATGATACAGAAAAACTTTTAGAACAAAAGTTGTAGCAAATTTTATCCTTTACACTTTGCTCTTTAACACTTTTGCTCTCAGATGCATCAGTGTAGAGAAATATTCTAAATTATGAAAATAGGAAGAATTCGCAGTTTCACAATTGATTAATAAAAAAAACGGTATTCTGAGCATGATACAGAAAAACTTTTAGAACAAAAGTTGTAGCAAATTTTACCCTTTACACTTTGCTTTCTAACACTTTTGCTCTCAGTTGCATCATTATAGAGAAATATTCGAAAATATGAAAATTAGAAAAATTCGCAGTTTCACAATTGGTTAATAAAAAAAAACATTTTCCGAGCATGACACAGAAAAACTTTTAGAATAAAAGTTGTAGCAAATTTTACCCTTAACACTTTGCTTTCTAACACTTTTGCTCTCAGATGCATCATTATAGAGAAATATTCAAAAATATGAAAATTGAGAGAATTCGCAGTTTCATAATTGATTAATAAAAAAAAACGGTATTCCGAGCATGATACAGAAAAACTTTTACAACAAAAGTTGTAGCAAATTTTACCCTTAACACTTTACTTTCTAACACTTTTGTTCTCAAATGCATCAGTGTAGAGAAATATTCAAAATTATGAAAATTGGGAGAATTCGCAGTTTCACAATTGATTAATAAAAAAAAACAGTATTCTGAGCATGATACAGAAAAACTTTTACAACAAAAGTTGTAGCAAATTTTACCCTTAACACTTTACTTTCTAACACTTTTGCTCTCAGATGCATCATTATAGAGAAATATTCGAAAATATGAAAATTGGGAGAATTCGCAGTTGCACAATTGGTTAATGAAAAAGAAACGGTATTCCGAGCATCACATAGAAAAACTTTTAGAACAAAAGTTGTAGCAAATTTTACACTTTACACTTTGCTCTCTAACACTTTTGCTCTCAGATGCATCAGTGTAGAGAAATATTCGAAAATATTAAAATTAAAAGAATTCGCAGTTTCACAATTGGTTCATGAAAAAAAAAAACGGTATTCCGAGCATGACACATAAAAACTTTTAGAACAAAAGTTGTTGCAAATTTTATCCTTTACACTTTGTTCTTGAACACTTTTGCTCTCAAATGCATTAGCGTAGAGAAATATTCGAAATTATGAAAATTGGAAGAATTCGCAGTTTCATAATTGATTAATAAAAAAAAACAGTATTCCGAGCATGACACAGAAAAACTTTTAGAACAAAAGTTGTAGCAAATTTTACCCTTTACACTTTGCTCTTTAACACTTTTGCTCTCAGATGCATCAGTGTAGAGATATATTCGAAAATATGAAAATTGGACGAATTAGTAGTTTCACAAGTTGTTAATGGAAAACAAGCTTTTACAACAAAAGTTGTAGCAAATTTTACCCCCTGAGTAAATTCTCCAACTCATTGGAGACATGACTCCTCAAGTTATAGAGCACACAGACCATATTACAAAATAGTTAGTCCTCTATATTATGGAACAGGATGTAATGCGCAATTACTAATAAAGATGTAAATAAAATTCCCTTTTTGCACTTTAAATGGATATTTTATTTTTATTTCTTTAGAGAAATAATAATAAAACGAATTTTCTCTAGAGAAATAAAAATAAAACAATAATAATAATAAACATATTTATTAACTGAGAGAAAACTACAATAATAAAAATAAAACTAAATATTATAACATCGGCAATAATAAATTGAAAGAAAATCATTAAATAATAATACTAATAAAGAGTCTAGATGATATTGATAGATGATAGATGTTGGGCATACTTTGGCAGCCTCTTCACATCTTATACCTTACTACGAATTATCCAGGTATACTTGGCAATTATAGAGACAACCCATACTAACTTAAAGTAAATATTATGATTTTAAACATTTCACAATCCTACAATTTAATATAGTCAAGGTGAGGAAAAAAGCCATTATGGCTAACCAGATCTGCCGCGAGCTCCTTGAAAGCAAGCGTTGCCAATTTCTTGTAAATTTCAAGACCTTGTCTTAAATTAAGACAAGAACAAGACAAGATGATTTCAAGAATTCTTGAAACATTTATTTGATTAATAAATGAATTATTTATGGACCAAAACATATACACACCATATATAATAAAAGGTATTGCAGTTAACATATTATCATAGGCTTGAAATTTGTTTACTTGAGATTCTGATAAACAAAACTAACCTTACTCAACATTCTTTATGAGATTATTAGCAGCATTGTTTAAACATTTGTGTGACAGAAGGCGGACAAGCTGGCCAAAGAGGCAATAAAAACGCTTTTCATTGGACCCCAACCCGGTTGTGGACTACAAAAAAGCCACCTAAAACAAGTAATCAACAGAACTTCCAAGTCACAGATAAGCGAAGAGTATGATAACAAAAGCACAGAGGTTTTATGCCTCAGCAAAAAGGATCTAAGGACACTGTCAGGTTTATTGACCGTCCATGCGCCCCTAAAATACCAGCTCTTCCATATTGGACAAGCTGAGGATCAAACTTGTCGATTTTGCATATACTGTGTAATTACCTTGCCAGAGACACAAAGTTTTCGGTAAAAATCTTTTGACACTTACCGATATAAAAGAACAAGATTAATGTAGGTTCATTAAGGACCTACATTTGTCCTAAAGGTCCTAAACATTTGGAGGGCTTCAGTTCCAATAAGTTTTATAAGTTTCGGCGACGAGAGTATGCAACCCAAATGACAATGTCATTACTCATTACAACCGCCATCTATATTTCTTTATATTGACTAATTCCTAAATCAAATCGATTAAAGTCAAATAAAAGTTAAAATATAAAAAATAAGGTAAATTAAATGTTTATTACATCCCGCCAATTCTAATTCAATACGATTATTTGTAGTTTTTTGAGAAAGTTTGAGAAAAAAGAGCATTTTCCTCGTTTCACATCGTCATTTTCCTTCATGAACCCTTTAAATTACTAAAATTACGTGTATTTAACCCAAAACCAGGTAAATTACTAAATGTGATTAACATTTTCCTGTTTAAATCATCCTAATAATAAGTTCGTTTTATTTAAAAACCGTTTTTTAAATAAAACGGTAAAATTTAACCTCACTTTTTTATTTTAAAATATTTAACGTTTTAGATACACGTGATGGCTAAAAATACTAAAACACCTGTGATGATTCTCCAAGAATTAACCGTAAAAAAAGGATATAACCCCCCAAATTACGAAATGGTTTACTCCCAACAAGGTACGCACGAAAATACATTTCACTATTCGATTTGCGTACAACAACAACAAGCGATTGGAATAGGGAAATCAAAAAAGGAAGCGAAACACGATGCCGCTCAAAAAGTATTAGAACTATTAGTCAACGAAGGTATAATCGAAGAAGATGTGGTTAAAGATGTTTGTAAAATGCAACCGGAAGGTCCCGAAGCTGCTTTTACTGATTTAAAAGCCCCCGAAAATTGTATTCCTAAATTAAACGACTTATGTGTGGAACATAACATCCCGCCGGTTGTTTTTAATGAACTCTCAGTTGCTGGTGAAGCCCACGCAAGAGAATTTACCTTCGAATGTAAAATAGCTTCTATTACAACTAAAGCTACGGCTCGTAGTAAAAAACACGCAAAACAAAAGGCGGCTAAAGATATGTTGGACAGAATTATGGACTTATTGCCGCAAATTCGAGAAGAAATGAAACAGTTACAAGTTGAAGAGGGTGATTCTGATTTAGATGTTATAAGTAAACATATTGATAAATATAAATATAACTTGAATTCTAAACCTATAGAATCAGAATATGTAATAACCGATCTTATGGAGGAGAAAGATGTTGATAAAAAAGATGTTTTAAAGGTGAATTATTTATTAACATTATTATTATGTATACAGGGTATTTCATATAACTCATAATATGTGAATGCAGTAAACATAGTTATGAAACTGCTATGCACTCACATAAAATGCAACATAGTTTAATAGTATAGTTCATTTCTTTTCTATAATACCTGCCAAAATTAACAGGGAGTTTAGTTTTATCATGTTTTGAAATAAATATGTCACACTGACGTTTGAGATTTCGTTATTCAAAAAGAAAATGTGCATAAAAAATGTGTTTATTTATCTAGAAAAGGTGTTTTGTTCTATTTAATTATTTTGTAGCACGTTTTTAGCTTCGTTAAAATGGTATTTATCTAAAAATTTATTAGTATTTTAACTTCAACTATTTAGTTACTGAAAATGTTACTAAAAAACAACATAAATTTTATAAGGGTCCTAGATAATACCAACAGAAACCCTAAACAATGTACATTGACAAGTATTATAGAAAAATAACGAATTATAGCAATATAGCATTGGGTAGTTTTGGAATGGGAAAATTTTGCTTGGAAAAGGTGACGTCTTAAAGATCGATATCTTCGCAACTGCTCAATAAAAAAAATTGCGACAAAGTTTGTTGCAATCACTGAACATTTCTACATAACATATAGTAATTTGAAAACTTTCGGATCCGCGGTTTTCTTTTTATCGCGAGTTAAATGAAAAAAGTACCCGATTTTTTACGGTATCGCAACTTTGTCTATTTTGCGATTTTTTTTTTCAAAAACTATCTAACGAAAAATAATTAATTTTGAACAGGTGGTAGTGTGATGTGTTCTTAATGAAGGGCATATTTTATTTTTTCGACTGCAAAACAGTTGTGAGTCGATCGCCAAGAAAATCGTGAATCTGAAATATCTACATGTGGGCCTCAGAGTTAAAAAAAGTAAGGTTACTTTAAACCCTTCGGTCGATCTTGGCAAGACATTTATATAAAAAGTCGATTTTGATCAAAAATTAGTGGACACCACTGCTCTAAATCGATTAAACATCAAAATTGTTGATTTTCGAAAATTAACTCAATCATAACTCAAANGTATTTATCTAAAAATTTATTAGTATTTTAACTTCAACTATTTAGTTACTGAAAATGTTACTAAAAAACAACATAAATTTTATAAGGGTCCTAGATAATACCAACAGAAACCCTAAAAAATGTACATTGACAAGTATTATAGAAAAATAACGAACTATACAAGCATTGGGTAGTTTTGGAAAGGAAAAGTTTTGCTTGGAAAAAGGGACGTTCTTATGATAACTGATGAGTTTTTGTCTTAAGAAAAAAAATTTGGACAAAGTTTGTTGTAATCACTGAACATTTCTACATAACATATATTAATTTGAAAACTTTCGGATCCGTGGTTTTCTTTTTATCGCGGGTTAAATGAAAAAAGTACCCGATTTTGTCCGGATTTAACTTTGTCCACTTTGCAATTTTTTTTTTCAAAAAGTATCTAACGAAAAATAATCAATTTTGAACAGGTGCTAGCCTGATGTGTTCTTAATAAGGGGCATATTTTATTTTTTCGATATTCCATACAGTTTCGCGACAAATCGCGGTTTAGCAAGACCCCGTTATGTCGAAAACGGCTGGGTGGATTTCATCGCGGATTTGACCAAAATATGTCAAATTATTGCGTTTATTGGATAGCGTTATCAGTTTTTCAAAGTTATGTCTCTCTAATTTTTTTTAAAGCGATTTTAGCGAATTATAAATTAAAAAGGAACAGAAATAAACTCTGAAGAGAGGGAGGAACAGAGAGAGGTTCCAAACAGTACGTCGCGCCTTTATCTTACCTACATAAAGAAATAAGGCGCGACGTCCTGTCTCTAGAAAACACACCAGGACCATATAATATACTAATACAGGGTGTCTCAAATGTCTGAAATATAGCTTATGAAAAATGTTTCAAATACAAGTTTCTTTATTAATTGTGACACATTTTTTGGCAATATTTGCTTGTTTGCATTATTTTTTGTTTCGTTGCTATGGCAACCAATATTGTTATTTTAAATGTGATGCATATGTTTTTTTTGCATATTTTGATAGAAAATAAATCCCTCTACGCGACTGATATGTTCAAATCGTATAGTTGTATAAGAAAAAAATCGAGGAAAGATGCGTTCTCTGAAAATATTAAATCAGCAAATTACAATCAAAGTAGGCGCCGTTGACAGCTTTAAATGTCAAAAAATTGACAGTTTAATTCATTCATATATAAAAAACACTTCTTCTCAGTATCAAAATGTTTTATTAATTATATAATTAAAAACATTATTTTTTCTTCGACGTTTCGAGCATTTATTGCTCATTATCAAGAATATGTTCCTAAAATTAAATTAAAACATCAAACTAATACAAACGACATACTAATTACAACAATTTAAACAGCTTTAAATGTCAAAAAATTGACAGTTTAATCAAATATGGCGCAATTAAGTGAACGACAAGGAATCTAAATGTTAATGCTGTATGGGTACGGTGATAGAAAACGCGCTCAAAGGAAGTTTGTACACTGTTCAATAATATTTATCCGGATACACAATCCACAGTATCCGAAATATTAAAAAAATTCCTTAACACCGGAAGTGTCCAAATCCTTCCAAAAAGTGACCAATGAAGAAACTACATTAAATATGTGTCACCGTACCCATACATTATTAATTATTCATAATTGTTGAAACTCTCATTTTTTGACATTTAAAGCTGTCAACGGCGTTATTTCGGTGCCTACTTTAATTGTAAATTACTAATTTAATATTTTCAGAAAACGCATTTTTCTCCATTTTTTTTTTATACGACCATATGATTTGATATGTTCATCGTATAGAGGGACTTATCCTCTATCTTTATTTCTAAAAAAAACATATGCATCCCATTTATCCCTTTGTCTACGAGCGGTACTTAAAAGTCTCGCAAAATATACATACGTTCAACTAATCAAAGTTAACGTGATTATTATTAGAATAGTGAGACTTAAAAGTACCGCTGGGTGATAAATGACGTTTTATAAAATTTAATTCTGGTAGGGAAGGGGTTAAAATAATATTGGTTGCCATAGCAACGACACAAAAACAATACAAACAAGCAAATACCAACAAAAAATTCGCCACGATTAATAATGATACTTGTATTTGAAACGTTTTTCTTTAAAACCACAAATGGCGAATTTATTGGCTATATTCCAGAAATTTGACACACCCTGTATAGTGTTCTATTCCTTGTATAAATCATTACCAACAAAAAAAAATTAATTTCAAGCTGATATTTTGAATAATATCGATAAAGTAGGAAACAATTTTAAACGTCAAAATAATTTATGAAACGTCATTTAAAAAAAATTATCAATTTAAACTTAATGCGTTTATATTTTGAAATAACCACATTCGAAAATAATACGAGAAAATTCGATTTTGAAATGAATTTAGATTCAAGGTTTTATTTTATTTAGTTTATTTATGAAGATTAAGAAACGATATTGATTTCAAAATAACTCCTCGTGTTCATATAGCGTTAGATTGTTGTATGTATGTTTTTATTGAATTAAAAGTAGAATTATCATTAGATCTAGAACTAAAACTAACACTAGACCTAGAACTAGAAATATTCGGGTTTCGCCGCACGTCTCTAAAGACGGCTAAACCCGAATGATTCTAGTTCTTGGTCTTGTGTTAGTTCTAGTGATAGTGCTGGTGCAAGACTAGAACGTTTAGCCGTCTTTAAAGACGTGCAGTTCTATTTTTACACAATTAAAAAAACAAAAAAAAACTAGAACTAACACTAGCACTGTTACTATCTAGAACTAACACTATACCTAGAACTAGAATCATATGGGTTTAGCCGTCTTTAGAGACGTGTGGCTAAACCCACATGATTCTAGTTCTAGGTATAGTGTTAGTTCTAGTGATAGTGCTAATGCAAAACTAGAACTAAGAAAACGCATATCAAGAAAACCCAAATATTTCTAGTACTAGGTCTAGTGTTATTTCTAGTTTTAGTTCAATAAAATATGCAACATAGTGATATTTTATGCTAACTAGCGCTACCTACCAGCCATCTTAACACTTTGCTGATCGGTAGTTTTACACAGAAACTATGTGATGTCACCGGCTATTTCTTTTGGTAATTGAATATGAAAGTAAAACTCGTATAAATAAATTCCAACAAATTTTACTTATACTGAATGAAATGAAATTAATCTTTGGACATATTTTTTGTAGTGTCCGTAAAAAAAAACAGCAACACCCGTTTTTTTTCTGTTCCATTGTATCTACATTTCTGAAATTTGGTTTATATGGGAGATTCTTTCGATTTAAAGTAGTTTCAAGTTGGTGGCCACTTCTGGTCCACCGAAAGTAGACACCTTTTATTACAGAGAGTTTTTATTACACCTTTTAATTATTTGCGAAACAAATATGTTGACTTTGATAAAAGATACTGGTACCTAGCATTTTTCGTTTTCGAATTATTTTCATTTTAAGTTTTTTTTTTTTCATATTTCACCATGCTATTTAAAACCCCATCTCTCAGACAATATTCAAACAAGAAAGCTCTAACTTGGCACGATTATTCTTCAGATGATATCAAATAGATTGTCATTTGTTGTATCAGAATATCTTACAGGGTGGTCAAAAATTGCATTAAAGTTATTCAGCATTCAATGGCAAGAAAGTCCAAAATTCAAAATCCATTTCCTAACTACTTCTAGTAGACATTTTTTGTATCTTAGTTTATTTTGTGACTTTTTACAGTAAATTTTGAATGCATTAAACAAAATACAATTGATTAAAATGTTAATTAAGCTTCAAATTTCTTCATTGCTTCATCAAGTGATAATTGCTGTTTCGGTACATACATAGATTAAATTTTTGGAATATGGTAATCCAATAGAGATCTAATTTTACAAAGTCTATCTTTACTAGATACATTCTGTACATTATTATTGAGATGGAAAAATGTAAGGATTTACTCGAACCTCATCATCCTGCTTAGTTTATCCTATCAATATCAATAATCCAAGAAACTTCTGCATATCGCATGTTGTAACTTCCGTCCATGGTAAAGTTTTAGCAGAATTCTTAAACAATTTTTTCATTTGCAACTAAATGAAAAAAGTCGTTATCAAAAAATAAATCCGTTACTTCACTGATACGTTCCGTCATGGTTGAAATTTTTGGAATTATACTAAAATTGTGATAAGAAGAAATAAATACCAAAAAAAGTAATTTTTTTGTTATAACACGAATACGATATGCCAAGTACGATATCGCCCTGGATGTCATAAATTGAAATAGATAATGCAAGTGTAATGACGAGTTAACTCGTCACTGGTCAGAAAAGTGTTAAGAGAGGTACAGCTAAATGGAATGTATCTAGTTCTAGGTCTAGTGTTAGTTCTAGTGCTAGTTTTATTTGTTATTCAACGCTAGATTGTTGTATATTTTGACATGTTGCATTTTATGTGGGAGCACCCTAATTTTTATGAAAATATATTTTTGTATATTGCCTCTTAAGTGAAATTCACTTTATAAATTTAATTTAATTTTAGTATTTTGAATTGGACCATAATGAAGAAACGCTCGAACAGTTATTAAAAGTGCTTGATGCAAAATATGAACTCGAAATTATTCAAGAAACGCCAAGTATGCTTGCTGTCAATATTATTACCGAGGCCCCCCTTACAATTATGGCAATGGGTACAGATTATTCTGATGCTCACCAAAACGTCATTAAAAAAACTTTTCAGTACTTAAAACATTTCGTTTGTGCGAAATAATTTTGAGTTACCTGTAGAATTTTAATATTTTTATTTTCTTAAATTATTGTTAAATAAAAGTTTGTTTTTATTTAAGTAAATAATTAAATTTGGATGTAACTTTTGCTCATCGATATACATTTATTTCATTCAATTATGAATTATTATTTATAGTTCTTTAATTTTATTTTTTTATTTAGATGATTAACAAAATTAATAAACATTATCTTAATCCAAAACAAGTATTTAACGCGGATTTAAATTCCAAATATAAATTCATTTGATAAGATAACTTTTATTCCTCCCTGTATCCATTTGTTTTTGTTGTATCAAATTTGACATCTGTCAGTTAAGATGTGAAAATGGCCGCTGCTGGTAGTGAAAGTTTGCCAACAATCGTACAAAACGCAGTCTCTAGTGTTGAAACTCCCGATAGAACCTCAAGATCACCTTCTTTAACATCGTTCCGAGACGTGCAATGGTCTCTATTTACATCAATTCCGGGGAAACGTCGACCTGTCAAAACTCTTAAAGGTAATTTTTAGGTTATGTCAAAAATAAATCATTTAAAAATAATGCGATTTAATCATACCCCTTTTTTTAACTAATTTTTATGTAACATATCAGGTTATTTAGTATTTAAATTTTAATTAAGTGTATTAAAGTTAAATTTTATTTAACTTTTATGTATATAGTTTATCTATTAAAAACGAGATGGCAGCACATCATTGATTTTGGGGGAGGGTGAAAATTAGAAATTATTGATTTTCCACAACCGCAAAAACCACCCCAATGTCATAAGAAAAATCTATAAGACACGATTCGTTGTAACTTGTAAGCGAAGTGAATGTATTTGTGTTAATTAATTTTGAAAAACTAAGTTTTGATTGATATCGGAGAAGAAAAAAGGCCTTTTTGGGGTGTACAAATGAAATTAACGGAAATGGTCGAATCTGTGGCCCATGTTAACATGGAACAAGAGATGGCTGGGGCTCAAGATACAATTTATTTATGTAATTTTCGTGTTTCCGTTGATGGGGAATGGCTATGTCTCAAGGAATTACAAGATGTTGGGTTTAATATGCAAGATTCTATTGTTCAACCTGTTTCACCCGAAATACCGGTTCAATCTTTTGGTAAATTTTAGTAAAAAATTGTGTTTCGACCCATTTTTTTTTGTCAAAAATTATTTTTATATCATATCGTTAATAAATGTGAAAAAGAAAGTGCGGAAAAGTGTAGAACATACCGAAAAATCACGTTAAAGTTTCGATGTGACGTCACAAGCAATGTTAAGTTATGCATTTTCCTATTATATCGGTCAACACTTAACCTACAAATTGTTTATTTTATAGCCATGCATAAAATCTGACGCTAGACCGAAAACTAGAAACATTCGGATTTAGCCACACGTCTCTCAAGATGGCTAAACCCGAATGATTCTAGTTATAGGTCTTGTGATAGTGCTAGAGTAAAGCTAGAACTAACACTAGAACTAGAATCATTCGGGTTTAGCCGTCTTTAAAGACGTGCGGCTAAACCCAAATGATTCTAGTGCTAGGTATAGTGTTAGTTCTACATAGTAACAGTGCTAGTATAAAACTAGAATTAACACAAGACCTAGAACTAGAATCGTTCGGGTTTAGCCGTCTTTAAAGACGTGCGGCTAAACCCGAATGATTCTAGTTCTAAGTATAGTGTTAGTTCTAGTTTCACACTGGTGCTGTCACTAAAACGAACGTTAGACCTAGAACTAGAATCATTTGGGTTTAGCCGCACGTCTCTCAAGACGGCTAAACCCGAATGATTCTAGGTCTTGTGTTAGTTCCAATGATAGTGCTAGTGCAAAACTAGAACTAACACAAGACCTAGAACTAGAATTTAGCTGTCTTGAGAGACGTGCGGCTAAACCCAAATGATTGTAGTTTTAGATATAGTGTTAGTTCTAGTTTTAATTCAATAAAAATATGCAACATTATGATATCTAATGCTACCTAGCACTGTTACTAGAACTGTCATTTGACCTAGAACTAGAAACATTCAGGTATAACCGTCTTAAGAGACGCATAACTAACCGTCTTAAGAGACGCATAGCTAAACTCTATACTTTCTAGTTCTAGGTCTAGTGCCAGTTCTAGTTTTAGTTCACATAAAAATATGCAATATAGTGATATTTTATGCTAACTAGCGCTACCTACCACCTATCAGCCATTTTAAGAGAGGTATTACATTAAAAGATAATAAAACTATGTGTATTTTTTACTAGATGTATGATTATTATTTTTGGCACTACCGGTTTCGAATGTTTTTTACATCATCTTCATGCATGCCACATCAAAATTGTATACTTTTAAAAACATACTTGTTTTCTTTCAAAGGTTTTTTTGTGTTGTTGGTTTTTTCTGTCAAAAACTTATGTATTTTAACACGTTTTTCTTAAAAAACTTACGTTATTATATTTTTTTGTAATTCGCGACGGTAATGAAAGCTATTACAGTACTCAAACGGGTGCTGTAATGAGACTACTTACAACATCCGATGCTGTAATGAGATTTTAGTAACATTTTATAGAACTAGTTTAAGTTGGTGACATTGGGTCATTAATTTTTCTAGTTGTCAATGTGATAATTTGAATGAATGTGTGTTTTAAGTCTTATGAAACGAGTTTTTTATGCTATTTTTTGTAATTCGCGTTTTTATCTCTCTTTTTTAACAAACATAAAATAAATTTTGACAATGATTATAAACATTGTCAAAATTTATTATGTTATTGTTAAAATGTCTTTTTTATTGTAAGTAATAATTATTAATGTGTCATTTTCAACTATTGGGCCTCGTGTTCACAAGATCTAAGATAAAATGAGATTTTGAAATCTAGAAATGAATTTGAATTTAAAAATAACGCGAAAAACTTGAAAATTACATTTTAACCTTAAACAAGAATGACGTTTAAATTTTCGAAATGACGTATTCAGGATCTTAGTGAAATTTTTAATACCAACCTAAAATTTTAAATTTAAAAATAAATTAAAACGTCAAAATGACATTTATTGTAAAAATGTCTTTCATTGCAAATTTTAATTTGTCATTTTCAAATATTGCACCTCTCGTCATCGCAAGATCCAAGTTAAAATGGGATTTTGAAATCTAAAAAAGAATTTGAATTTAAAAATAACGCGGAAAGCTTCAAATCACATTTTAACCTAAAACAAGGATGACGTTTAAATTTTCGAAATGACGTATTCAGTATTTTGGTGAAATTTTAATACCAACCTAAAATTTCTAAAACTAAGTTTTCCAACGTCAAAATGACGTTTATTGTTAAAAGGTCTTTTTTATAATTTGTCATTTAAATATTGCGCCTTGTGATCGCAAGATTCAAGTTAAAATGGGATTTTGAAATTTAGAAAAGAATTTGAATTTAAAAATAACACGAAATTACATTTTAACCTAAAACAAGAATGACGTATTCAGGATTTTGGTGAAATTTTTAATACCAACCTAAAATTTCTAAAATAAATGTGTGCTTTAAGTCTTATGAAACGTGTTTTTTATGCTATTTTTTTGTAATTCGCGTTTTTATCATTTTTTTAACAAAAATAAAATAAATTTTATTTAACCATTTCTATATCTCTTATGGTTTTTGAGATCGCAATGGTGGGGGTCGAATTTGAATTATCCCTGTATAATATTATGTTATTGTTAAAATGTCTTTTTTATTGTAAGTTTTAATGTGTCATTTTCAATTATTGCGCTTCGTGATCACAAGATCTAAGATAAAATGAGATTTTGAAATCTAGAAATGAATTTGAATTTAAAAATAACGCGCAATTAATTAAATTACATTTTAACCTTAAACAAGAATGACGTTTAAATTTTCGAAATGACGTATTCAGGATCTTGGTGAAATTTTTAATACCAACCTAAAATTTTAAATTTAAAAATAAATTAAAACGTCAAAATGGCATTTATTGTAAAAATGTCTTTCATTGCAAATTTTAATTTGTCATTTTCAAATATTGCACCTGTCGTCATCGCAAGATCCAAGTTAAAATGGGATTTGTAAATTTAGAAAAAAAATTGATTTTGAAATTTTGCCAAAAAGTTTCAAAATTACATTTTAACAATAAACAAGAATGACGTATTCAGGATTTTGGTGAAATTTTTAATACCAACCTAAAATTTCTAAAATAAATGTGTGCTTTAAGTCTTATGAAACGTGGTTTTTATGCTATTTTTTTGTAATTCGCCTTTTTATCCTCTTCTTTAACAAAAATAGAATAAATTTTGACAATGTAGGGCAATATGTAGGTATTTAGCAGTAAAAAAAAATTGTGTAATTGTCAATTCAAATTTATATTATCAAGTGTTACGGTGTTACCAACTGCTACATACCTATTTCCCTGCATTGTCAAAATTTATTTTATTTTTGTTAGAAAAAAAGGATAAAAGCTCGTGTCTTCGCCACTTGGTTTTAAAATTGAATTCGTGCATTTCAAGCGTGTCTTACAAAACTAGTTTTTTAATATATTATTTATCTTTTCGTGTGTCTTCTAAAGGTCACCTTGTTGTTGATGTCTTTTGACGTAACGACTTTCTACGAGACATAATCACACTTTCGTATAGTGTAGTTTTACACTTGCACTGTCACTAGAACTAACACTAGACCTAAATCTAGAAACATTCGGATTTAGCCGCACGTCTCGAAAGACGGCTAAACCCGAATGATTCTAGTTATAGGTCTTGTGTTAGTTCTAGTGATGGTGCTAGTGCAAAACTAGAACTAACACTAAACCTAGATCTAGAAACATTCGGATTTAGCCGCACGTCTCTCAAGACGGCTAAACCCGAATGATTCTAGTTCTAGCTCTTGTGTTAGTTCTAGTGATGGTGCTAGTGCAAAACTAGAACTAACACTAGACCTAGANCTACATAACGCATGGTGAAAATTTTTAAAGTTTTCCAAAAAAAGGGGTTTTTTTCCTCAATATTATACAATTTGGTCGTTCTTTTTTAGCTTGCATGATAGTATACTTGAAAATAGTAATATTTTTCAAATAAATTTTTTCAAAATTTTTAGTTATAAAGGAATAGTTTGTAATTTGCTAAAATTGCAAAAAGGTAGCGTAAAAATGAATATTTTCCGTCAAGATTCCCACGAAGTATTACCACCGCGTTAGTCCCGCCTCCTGCCGACTGAGCGGCGCTGACATCGACTCTCTTCATCGAAGCTCCTTGTTTTATCTATTACTTTTTAATGTGGTAGAGAAAATAATCATTTCCAAAAGTACGTTTTGAACTTTATTTTCCGTGATGAAATGTTCTTCAACGTTATGGCGCTAAAGTGAAATTTACTTTAGCGCCATAACGCTGAAGTACTTTTTTGCTATGTTGATCTTAGCAACCGTCGTTATGCAACAATGACTTACTTCTACCGCGAGTAAACACGACAACAAAGTTGTCATTTAATGACGTTTGAAGAAAAAATAATTTATGAAACGTCATTTAAAAAAATGTATCAATTTAACCCTTCCTCTGTAAACCTGGGTATTTCCTGTCCGACCTACAACTGTTTAGGCAAATAATTTCTTCATTTCATATAAAAAAAAATGTATGCAAAAATAAATTTTTCGATAATTTTATGATTGATTTATCAAGTTGAGGGTTTCGAACATTATCATGAATAATTTATAAAATTTTTGGAGTGCATTAACAGGATGAAAAAACGGCCGGACCCGAAAGACCCACCTTTACAGACGGAAGGTGCTAAAATAGTATATTAAAAAACAAGTTTCGTAAGAGATGTTTGAAATGCACGAATCCAAGTTGAAAAACGAGTGGTGAAGCCACGAGTTTTTTAATGAATAAGTAAATGTTGAAAAAAAAATAAAATAAATGTTGACAATTTTGGGAAATAGGTATGTAGCAGTTGGTAACACCGTTACACATGAAAATAGAAATTTGAATTGACAAGTAGAAACTGTCAAAACACAAAATGTATTCATCTGACAAAAATGTTTCATGTACACCTCCCAAAATTAGAGAAATTGCTCAGAGTTCAATGTCCTCATCATTGTAGTCCTTGTATTCGATGCTAAGAACGTGTTTAAACATCCATAGACAAACCTTGTCACATTGACAACTAAAAAAATTAATGACCCAATGTCACCAACTTGAACTGGTTTCATAAAATGTTACTAAAATCTCATTACAGCATCAGATGCTGTAAGGAGTCTCATTACAGCACCCGTTTGAGTATTGTAATAGCTTTCATTACCGTCGCGAATTACAAAAAATATAATAACGTTAGTTTTTTAAGAAAAACGTGTTAAAATACATAAATTTTTGACAGAAAAAACCAACAGCACAAAGAGACCTTTGAAAGAAAACAAATATGTTTTTAAAAGTATACAATTTTGATGTGGCATGCACCTGAAGATGAATGTAAAAAACATTCGAAACCGGTAGTTCAATTACATTTGAACCTTAAACAAGAATGACGTATTCAGGATCTTGGTGAAATTTTTAATACCAACCTAAAATTTTAAATTTAAAAAATAAATTAACACGTCAAAATGACATTTATTAAAAGTCATTTTCAAATATGAAAAAATATCTCTAAAATGGGATTTTCAAATCTAAAAAAGAATTTGAATTTAAAAATGATGCCAAAAAGCTTCAAAATTACATTTTAACAATAAACAAGAATGACGTTTAAATTTTCTAAATGACGTATTCAGGATTTTGGTGAAATTTTTAATACCAACCTAAAATTTCTGAAATGAATGTGTGCTTTAAGTCTTAAGAAAACGTGTTTTTTATGCTATTTTTTGTAATTCGCGTTTTTATCTAGTTCTAGCTCTTGTGTTAGTTCTAGTAATAGTGCTGGTAGTGACGGCACGTTAGTTTTACACTTGCACCGTCACTAGAACTAACACTAAACCTAGATCTAGAAACATTCGGATTTAGCCGCACATCTTTCAAGACGGCTAAACCCGAATGATTCTAGGTATAGGTCTTGTGTTAGTTCTAGTGATAGTGCTGACGCAAAACTAGAACTAACACTAGACCTAGAACTAGAATCATTCGGATTTAGCCGCACGTCTCTCAAGACGGCTAAACCCTAATGATTCTAGTTCTAGGTCTTGTGCTAGTTCTAATGATAGTGTTGGTGTAAAATTAGAACTAATACTAGTATCGGATTTAGCCTTGTGTCTTTAGACAACTATTTCACCCATAAATTTGTGTTTTAACCAAATGTGCTGCGAAAATATATGATTTTACACTTTTCCGCACTTTTTTGTATCAATAACAGCTTACTTAAGTGATTTCCCGTCGATTAAAAAAAATTGTTAATTTTCAAGCAACATAATGATTCTTGAATAACACCGAATGTTTTTTTTTTATTAAATTAGGTCGAGATCCCGCATCAATAGAACGAAGTAACTTGGTAAACATAAGTAAATTAGTTGTGAAAGAACTAATAGAGCAATCGTTACGTTATGGTCGCATGTTAGATTCTGACCACATGCCATTACAACATTTTTTTATCGTGTTAGAACACGTTTTGCGCCATGGTTTACGCCCAAAAAAAGGTCTTTTAGGCCCAAAGAAGGAACTTTGGGATATTTTACAAACCGTAGAGAAGTATGCATCGGAAGCTCAAGATATAACAGCAAGCGTAAGAGATTTACCTACGGTTAGAACACATATGGGGCGAGCGAGAGCTTGGTTAAGATTGGCTTTGATGCAAAAGAAACTCGCCGATTACTTAAAAGTTTTAATGGATAATAAAGATGAAGCTTTGGCTGAGTATTTCGAACCCGACGCTTTAATGTTAAGCGATGAAGCTATCATTATAATCGGGTTATTGGTTGGCTTGAACGTAATTGATTGTAATTTATGCGTTAAAGAAGAAGATTTGGATTGTCCTCAAGGTGTAATTGATTTCTCGCTTTATTTACGTTCCTCAAATCAACAAGTTACGGAAACTAATAACGAAGACGACGACCAAGGTGATAATATGACTACCGTTTTGGATCAAAAGAATTATATTGAAGAATTAAATCGTCATTTAAAGTAATTTTGATTAATTTATCTTATTTAATTTAACGCAAACTTTTTTATAGCGCAACCGTAACAAATCTTCAAGCTAAAGTTGAAACTCTCACAACGACGAATGCTTTAATGAAGGAGGATTTGGCTATTGCTAAGAATAGCTTGATGACCTTATTTGAGGAGAACAAACAGCTTAAAATGGAACTGGGTAGAGAGCAACAGCAACATCCTAAAGATCAAGTTATTGGGGTACAAATCAGTAATGTTACGGAAAATGATGAAAATAATAAGGATGTTTCTCTTGAAATTAATGAGTTAAAACAACGATTGGAGGAAGAAAGAAAATTGAGGGGCGAATCTGACAAGGAATTGCATTTACAGGTATGTTTTGTCATTAATAATTTTTGAAAAGCTTCGAAATGTCACATTCAAGATCTTGATGACATTTTTAATACCAACCTAAAATTTATTAAACTAAATATTCCAACGTCAAAATGACATTTATTGTTAAAATGTCTTTTTTATTGCAAGTTTTAATTTGTCATTTAAATATTGCGCCTCGTGATCACAAGATTCAAGTTAAAATGGGATTTTTGAATCTAGAAAAGAATTTGAATTTAAAAATAAGCTTCAAAATTACATTTTAACCTAAAACGAGAATGACGTTTAAATTTTTGAAATGTCACATTCAAGATCTTGATGACATTTTTAATACCAACCTAAAATTTCTTAAACGAAATATTCCAACGTCAAAATAACGTTTGCTTTTCTTATCTTTTTTCTTTTCATTGGTTCTCTCACAAATTGATGCAATCAAACTGTCATTAGAATAACACTGAACAAGGCCACCTTATCAAAAAGTAACGTATTTTAAGTAAATTATTAGTGACAAATTCATTTCGCTCTTAAAAATGAACGAATGCACTTAGAGACATGAACCAAAAAACAAAACGAATGGTTCTTAACAAAAATTATATTTTGAAACAATTTATATGTACACTAAATTATTCCACAGGTGTTTTAAAATTAGGATCCTAGAACGACGTTTCAATTATACCGACTAAATGACCAGCCTTTAACAAAAAGTTTGCTGAAAAAATCATGAAAATTGAACGAAAAATAAAAAAGTTATCACATAAACTTTACCAAATACATATTAGCTTGTTGCGTTTTTTTTTCACCTGAATGTAGAAAAGAATTTGAATTTAAAAATGACGTTTACATTTTCTAAATGACATATTAATTAAAATAATAGAAAAAGAAAATTCCTTTCTGTTTAAATGATGAAAATATTTTTTCTTTTTTATTATTATGACATATTCAAGGTCATGGTGAAATTTTTAATACCAACCTAAAATTTTTATAGCTTAATACTCCAACGTCAAAATGACATTTATTAATTTTATTTTTTTAATTGCAAGTTTTAATTTGTCATTTACAAATATTGCGCCTTTCGTGATCACAAGATCCAAGTTAAAATGGTATTTTTTAATCTGGAAAAGAATTTGAATTTAATAATAACGCGAAAAGCTGCAAATTTACATTTTAACCTAAAACGAGAATGACGTTTACATTTTTGAAATGACTTATTCAGGATTTTGGTGAAATTTTTAATACCAACCTAAAATTTCTAAAACTAAATCTTGCAACGTCAAAATGACGTTTATTGTTAAAATGTCTTTTTTGTTGCAAGTTTTAATTTATCGTTTTCAAATATTGTGCCTCGTGATCACAAGATCCAAGTTAATATGGGATTTTTGAATCTAGAAAAGAAATTGAATTTAAAAATAACGCGAAATTACATTTTCACCTTCAACAAGAATTTTGTTATAATTATTATTTCTTTCCATTTTCGTAGATTAAAAACAAAAACATGCACTTAGTTAATGGATCTTTATTAATTTTAATTCTACCGATTTCGACTCAGTTTAGACTCATCTTCAGGAACATCTATATTTAGAAACGAAAAAGTCTGAATCAGTTACAAAACTTAAATATATGTCTAAAGTATATCTAAAGTACACATGTCAACTTAAGATTATCGGTTAGGTTGTAAGAAATAATAAATTTACAATGAAAGAACTTAAACTAACGTCACAAAAAAAAATTTTTCGGTTTTAGATTTTGAGATATTATGAAAAATTTTCGTTTTCTTAAAGGGAAACAACCACTCGAATAATCACACACGCTTTTTAAATTCGTTATTTTTTTCTGAATACAAAAATATGGGGTTAGATAGGTCTATTTCTTATTGTTTTAGAATAAAGCTAAAAATAAACTTTTTTTTAGTGTCGTCAAAGAAATTAAATTTACAGTTTCCTGTAAATTACTGTGCTATAACTAAAAATTATTCTACTAAAAATTTATATAAAATTTACTTTATTTTCTAATATAATTAACGTTCTAACGTGTTAAACTGTTCGTAATTTTTGTAATCCATCTTAAAAATAGGATTTTTAATGTTGCTATGTTTATTTGAATTAAAAAAAATATATGAGCGCCATCTATCAATAATTTATTAAGTCATTTAATAATAATATTAAATATTAATAAAAAATGTGAAAATATGTCATTTAATAATAATATTAAATATTAATAAAAAATGTGAAATAATGCAATCTATTCCAACTTTTGTATAAAACAAATATAAATTAAATAGTTCAACAAATGTATTTGTTTCAAATATCAGAAATATGTTTTTTTAATTTTTAGTTGTAATTTACAGGAAACTGTAAATTTAATTTCTTTGATGACACTAAAAAAAAGTTTATTTTTAACTTTATTCTAAAACAATAAGAAATAGACCTGTCAAACCCTATATTTAACTGTAACTGTCAAATCTTGTTGCTTGATTGTTAGTTTGATGCTATTTATTGTCTTTCTCTCCTCTTCAATTCTTATTTTCATTGTCTCTTCTTTCCTCTTCGTTTTTTTCTTTGTTTCTTCATTAATTATTATTTGACGTAGCTCTCTTTGTATGTTCTCTCTATCTGCTATGTATTTTGTTATGGCTTCCAATTCTATGGCAGTTCTTCTTAAATTAGGTTTTGAAGGTAAGGCATATTTCGGTCCCTTGTTAAGCAATTTCATTTCTTGTTGGTTAAATCTTATATCTTCGTTATTATTAGTTTGTGAACTTTTTTCTTGTGTGTGTTTTTCTGCTTTTTCGACCAATCATCGTCCAGTTTTCTTATTATTAATAACAAGAATGACGTTTATATTTTCGAAATGACATATTCAGAATCTTGGTGAAATTTTTAATACCAACCTAAAATTTCTAAAACAATATTCCAACGTCAAAATGACATTTATTGTTAAAATATCTTTCATTGCAAGTTTTAATTCGTCATTTTCAAATATTGCGCCTCGTGATCACAAGATCCAAGTTAAAATGAGATTTTTAAATCTAGAAAAGAATTTGAATTTAAAAATAACACGAAATTACATTTTAACCTAAAATAAGAATGACGTTTAAATTTTCGTAATGACGTATTCAAGATCATGGTGAAATTTTTAATACCAACCTAAAATTCTAAATTTAAAAATAAATTGAAACGTCAAAATGACATTTATTGTCAAAATAAATAAATAAAATTAAATTTTGAAATATTATTACTTTTATATGATTAATAAAACGATTAAAATAGTTAAAAAGTCATTTTGATTAAATAAAATTCTTTTAATGAAACGTTTATGTAGAAATTTTCAAATTTTTTTATTATCACTGAATTAAATCTTAAAAAAAACGATTTGTTAAGCGTAACGAAATAGTTACGTCTGCAGTTTTGAAGTGGAGGAAGGTTGTTGCTTGTTACGAGTGTGAGTCGTCAGTTGATTTCTAACCGTGTTCGCGATACGATTGCATAAACGCTTTTTAATGACCCATTTCACCCATAAAATAATAAAACTAACGGTACAATCGCGACGTCCTTTTATTTATTTTAATTCTTTATCAACAATCTCAACGCGTAGTAATCATTTTTTATTAAGATAACAAAACGGCGGCTAAACATAGTCTAGAATTTTATTTTTTCCACTTTTTAATCGTTCGATTCGTCATTTTCGCGATTACGAGGTAGCAATTAGAAATAATGTGTAGATTATGTTGCCCTTTCCCGGGATTTAAATCGTTAGATTTTTGTGGGTTCCTAAAAGAAGTTGACGAATCAAATGAAGCTCAAATATTGGTAAATTGTGTTTGTTGATGTTAATAATAATTTATTCCGTAAACCCACAATGGGTATCTCAAGGATTTGTTTTATTAAATATTAATTAATTAATTCCAGATGGATTTAAAAGCTGAAATGGAAGTAGCTATGAAATTGCTTGAAAAAGACATCCACGAGAAGCAAGATACGATTATTTCGCTAAGAAGACAATTAGATGATATAAAATTAATTAATTTGGAGATGTACAAGAAATTGCAGGCAAGTAATTGTTAAAGAAACTCATTTTAATCATCAATCATGATATTATTTAAGTCGCTCATTTAGTTTGTTAAGTAAGTTTTATTTAAAAAGAATCAAATATAAGCGGAGAAACGAATGATTTAGGAATGCGAGTCTGAGTTGACTCAAAAAGGCGAGATGGTGAGCCGATTGCAAGCAAAAGCCGGCCAAATCGGCAAGATTCTCAATAACCTCGAGAAGTATAATCATCTCGTCGCTGAGAAGAAGCCATCCGGTGATCATCATAGAAGGGCTTCGATCAAACGCTCTGAAAGTCGCGAATCTACATCGGAAATGAATCAATTAAGTTTTGATAAAGTAAACGCGGAAAAACAAATTGATAAAGATAAAAATCACGTTGAGGATCGCAAAAAATGTGCTCGAATCGAGGAATAAGGATTTATTTGTTTTTAATTATTTTTTGATGTAATTTACAAGTTTTAATTTGTCATTTTCAAATATTGCGCCTCTCGTGATCGCAAGATCCAAGTTAAAATGGGATTTTGAAATCTAAAAAAGAATTTGAATTTAAAAATAACACGAAATTACATTTTAACCTAAAACAAGGATGACGTTTAAATTTTCGAAATGACGTATTGAAATTTTAATACCAACCTAAAATTTCTAAAACTAAATATTCCAACGTCAAAATGACGTTTATTGTTAAAAGGTCTTTTTTATAATTTGTCATTTAAATAGTGCGCCTTGTGATCGCAAGATTCAAGTTAAAATGGGATTTTGAAATTTAGAAAAGAATTTGAATTTAAAAGTAACTCGAAATTTCATTTTAACCTAAAACAAGAATGACGTTTAAATTTTTGTAATGACGTATTCAGAATCTTGGTGAAATTTTTTAATACCAACCTAAAATTTCTAAAACTAAATATTACAACGTCAAAATGACGTTTATTGTTAAAATGTCTTTTTCATTTCACGTTTTAATTTGTCGTTTTCAAATATTTCGCCTCGCGATCATAAGATCCAACTTAAAATGGGATTTTGAAATTTAGAAAAGAATTTGAATTTAAAAATAACGCGAAAAGCTTCTTTTTCTTCTTCACAATGATAAAGCTTGGCAATGGGGTTGGAAACTTCCCAGTCACTGCGTTTAAATTGCGTATTGTTACTCTAATGCGCTGTTTCTATTTACGCAATCAACAAAAACCAAAACAAGAGCCCCGCGTATCGATTCTCTATGCATAAATAGAAAAACATTGCGATATTCTACATATCGATTTCTCGAACATTACAAACGTAATCTTCTAAATACTGAGGTTTCTTTCGTTTTCTTGTTGCTCTCTCTCTGGTTGTCTCTTGGGCCTCTGTTGCTCCTGGTGGACTGTATTCAACATTCTCTGATTGGTGATCTTGGCCATTCGTATTGCTTGCAGATAAGAGTTGATCTGTGTGTCGCTTGGAAATGTTTCCATCCGGAAATTCCACTCTGTAGTTTCCTGGACCAGTTTTCTCTGAAATTGAAGCTGGTATCCATTTCGTACCTGGAACATAAGATCTATCATATACTAAATCATCTGTTGCAAATGTTCTCGGAATTTTGCTATCCCTCTTCCCTCTATTAATACAACTTTGCAATATATCTTTTGGCAATAATATAATTTACCTCCGTTTTGTTTCAAGAAAATTCCTTCATTATATGTGTTCTGATATTTTAAGGGGGATGACACTTTCAGTAATTATAACTACGTCCTGTTCATACATGCTTAGAAAGTTAAAAATACAACTTTTATTCTTGGCAAGACCCCTCCAATTCCAAAGTAATGTCCTCATCGATAGGAATTTCTTCTTCTAGAAATATTCTTTGTCTTCTTCTGTCTTGCATTACTAAATTATTTAAATTTGTAAATGTTTCTTCATCTTCTGACTCCGTTATTAGGTCTTGAAATTCCTTTGTCAAGGTAAGTGGGGTTCTGATTTCTTTTGTCAATGGTACACCTCGTGAAGATATGTTACCAGGTGGCTTTTTTGCTTTGTTGTGAATTTTTTCTTCTGGGGAAGCAAGAAATTTTCTTTTAGAAATCTCTTGACTTTTATATCGTATCGTTGATGAGGTCGTTATTGAGTTTTTCGGAGTAGTTCTTCCAAGGGTTTTTTGTGGTGATTATTTTTTGACTATATCAGAATAGTCCACCACTTGTCTTCGAGGTGCTGTGCTAGCAGCAAAATTGTCCTTTGTATAGCGTCATCTTTCTTTAGAGGGGGAAAATCAGTGTGGTATATATTTCTGATGTTTTTTTCTAGCTGCACCTGCTCAGCATTCTTTATTAGTATATTAGTAAATTAGTAAATATGTAAATCGTGATGATCCGGACATTTAGAGCATATTTTTTGAGACTTGCATAACGTTTTTGTATGTCCATATCTTAAACAATTAAAACATTGTGTAACAGGGGAAATGTACACTTCCGGAATACGATGGCTATACCAAATTGATATATGTCTAGGTAATGTAGTACCTGCAAACGTAGCTACAATAGTTGATGTTGTTACAAATATTATTTCTCCTTGTTCATTGATTGTTTTTCTTTTTAATTTTCTCATATTTAACACTTCGCGTCTATTTTCTGATTTCATTAGTTTTAAAATTGTTTCTTCTTATAATGAGGTATCAACACCTCGAGTAATTCCTTTGCATGTTACGCTGTGTGAAGGAATAAATGCCCTCCAGTTTTCTTTTTTGACTAAAAAACATGATAAGAATTCATTAGTTCTATTGTATGGTATGTAATTGTTGAATTCAGCTTCAATTCTGTTTCTCCCTCTCTTGTCTACTCTCATAATTCGTTTTAAACCGCTTTCAAAAAGTTTTTGCCTACCTGCATATCGTGTAAATTTCCTGTATTTTTTTATTATTGTTTATAATTAATTCTACCACTTACCGCGGGGCTTAAACTACTTAATTAATTGTTGTTTAGCGTACTAGAAGTAACCAGAACCACTTTCTTAGATCGCCAAACTCGACTCGAATGACAAAAACTTCAAAATCCCAGTTTAACCTTAAACCAGGATGACGTTTAAATTTTTGGAATGACGTATTCAGAATCTTGGTGAAATTTTTAATACCAACCTAAAATTTCTAAAACTAAATATTCCAACGTCAAAATGACATTTATTGTTAAAATATCTTTTTCATTGCAAATTTTAATTTGTCACTTTAAAATATTGCACCTCTCGTCATCGTAAGATCCAAATTAAAATGGAATTTTTGAATCTAGAAAAGAATTTGAATTTAAAAATAACGCGAAAAACTTCAAAATCACATTTTAACCTCAAACAAGAATGACGTTTACATTTTTGAAATGACGTATTCAGAATCTTGGTGAAATTTTTTTTATACCAACCTAAAATTTCTAAAACTAAGTTTTCCAACGTCAAAATGACGTTTATTGTTAAAATGTCTTTTTCATTTCACGTTTTAATTTGTCGTTTTCAAATATTGCGCCCCACAATTTATAAAATTCAAGTTAAAATGGAATATTGAAATCTAGAAAAGAATTTGAATTTAAAAATAACGCGAAAAGCTTCAAAATCACATTTTAACCTAAAACAAGGATGACGTTTAAATTTCCGAAATGACGTATTCAAGATCATGGTGAAATATTTTAATACCAACCTAAAATTTTTAAAACTAATTTTTCCAACGTCAAAATGACGTTTATTATTAAAATATCTTTTTCATTGCAAGTTTTAATTTGTTGTTTTCAAATATTGCGCTTCTCGTGATCGCAAGATCTAAGTTAAAATGGGAATTTGAAATCTAGAAAAGAATTTGAATTTAAAAATAAGCTTCAAAATTACATTTTAACCTAAAACGAGAATGACGTTTAAATTTTTGAAATGACGTATTCAGGATCTTGATGAAATTTTTAATACCAACCTAAAATTTCTAAAACTAAATATTCAAACGTCAAAATAACGTTTGCTTTTCTTACCATTTTTCTTTTCATTGGTTGTCTCACAAACTGATACTATCAAACTGTCATTAGAATAACACTGAACAAAGCCACCTTATTAAAAAGTAACGTATTTTAACTAAATTGTTAGTGACAAATTCATTTCGCTTTTAAAAATGAACGAATAGACATGAATCAAAAAACAAAATGTGGGGAACGAATGATTCTTAACAAAAATTATATTTTGAAACAATTTATATGTACACTAAATTATTTAAGAATGACGTTTAAATTTTCGAAATAACGTATTCAGAATCTTGGTGAAATTTTTTAATACCAACCTAAGATTTCTATAGCTTAATATTCCAACGTCAAAATGACATTTATTAATTTTATTTTTTTAATTGCAAGTTTTAATTTGTCATTTACAAATATTGCGCCTTTCGTGATTACAAGATCCAAGTTAAAATGGGATTTAGAAATCTAGAAAAGAATTTGAATTTAAAAATAACGCGAAAAACTTCAAAATCACATTTTAACCTAAAATAAGAATGACGTTTAAATTTTTGAAATGACGTATTCAGAATCTTGGTGAAATTTTTTAATACCAACCTAAAATTTCTTAAACTAAGTTTTAGAACGTCAAAATGACGTTTATTGTTAAAGTGTCTTTTTCATTGCCACTTTTAATTTGTCATTTTCAAATATTGCGCCTTTCGTGATTACAAGATCCAAGTTAAAATGGGAATTTGAAATCTAGAAAAGAATTTGAATTTAAAAGTAAGCTTCAAAATTACATTTTAACCTAAAACGAGAATGACGTTTAAATTTTCGAAATGACGTATTCAAGATCATGGTGAAATTTTTAATACCAACCTAAAATTTTAATTTAATTATTTATCAATAATTATTTAATTGATAAAGATTTTGTAAAAAATGTGCTCGAATCGAGGAATAACGATTTATTTTTAATTATTTTTTGATGTAAATTAGTCGAAGTGTCGGCAGTGAGTTATTACTACTTAGGGGGTAATGATAATTGTTATTTACAGGAATGCGAGGGTTCTCTTAAACATAAGACAGAGCTCATTGCCAAGCTTGAGGCTAAATCGCAAGCGATGTCTGAGTCTATTCACACCTTAGAGGCTAAGTATGTACGAGCTTTATAAAAAAATAAAGTTTTTTTTTAAAAGTGTGATAAAATATAATTAAGATAAGAAAAAATGTTGGCAAACCTTCACTACGGGCAGCTCTTTATTAGATAAATCTTGTGTAACTATTTATTAATAACCTATTTAGAAAAATTTGTAATCGAAAAATAATTTTCTTATAAACGCAGTATTAGAAGTAGTTAATGTAAAAATTTAGCTACATATTTTATTAATTAAAAAATATTTTTACGGTGCATGAAAATAAAAAAAAAAAATTGTAAACATTCTTGTAAAACAAAAAAAAGAATAAAATCAAACTTGTCAAAAAAATTAATTTCTTTTAAATTTAAATTTCCCCTCCAATTTATTTTTTTGGTTTGCCATTATTTTTTCTTATCATTTTGAATCCTCAATATCATTTTATTTAATTTCAAGATACCACGAATGCGAAAACGTACGTTTAGTATCAGAACAACGCCGTCGCGAACTCGATCTTCAAATGGCCCACCAAGAAGAGCAAACGACGGGAATTGAAGACGATCTAAAAGTTGAACGAGAATGGCGCGTAACCCTCCAAGACTCCATACAACACGATAAAGAAAAAATCGCCAAATTACAACACGAATTAACTCAATTACGATTAATCGCGCAAAAATACGCGGGCCTCCAAGAAGAATATTACACTCTTAAAGAGCATTGTTTGGAGCAGGAACAAACTCTCGAAGAATTAGGTAAAAAATTAAGCGATTCGAAATTGGAATTAAGCGATTTGAGGGAAGAATCGAGTAGGAAGAGTGAGGGGACTTGGGTTGAGGATAAAACGGCTGTTAAATGTAAAGCTTGTTGTAAAGAATTTAGTGTGACGAGAAGAAAGGTAAATTAAAACATTTTAATTTGATTTAAATTAAATTATATTTTTTTAGCATCACTGCAGAAATTGCGGCAACATTTTTTGCCACTCTTGTTCGGATAACTCAATTTCATTACCTTCTTCTGCCAAACCCGTTCGTGTATGCGATTTATGTAATGAAAATTTAAGCAAAAGAACGCTGTGATTTCATTTATTAAAATAATTTTAATTGTGGATAAAGCTGGCATAAGTGATATTTTTTAATATGTAATTTGAATGTGTACAAAAACAAATATAATATTTAATTAATTCATTTTTATTACTACATATATTTAATTTCTTCTTCCTCTTTTTAAGGCCTTTACCTTGTACAAGGATTATATTCATATTATAACTAGGACTTTCTTACAGAGAATGTAATGAGGTAGTCCAAAAAAAATTTCCAAAAATTGTTTTAGAATAAAGCTAAAAATAAACTTTTTTTTAATGTTGTCAAAGAAAGTAAATTTACAGTTTCCTGTAAATTATAACTAAAAATTAAAAAGTCATATTTCTGAAATTTGAAACAAATACATTTGTTGAACTATTTAATTTATATTTGTTTTACACAAAAGTTAGAATAGATTGCATTATTTCACATTTTTTATTAATATTATTATTAAATGACGTAATAAATTATTGATAGATGGCGCTCATATATATTTTTTTGAATTTAAATCAATTTTACTTAAGAAGCAATATAAAAAAAATATAAAGGAAAAAAGATAAAATAAAATTAAAAAAATATTAAAATATAAAGCGAAATATTAACGGTTATAATATAATTTTATTATTGTTAGGTTATCCAACTTGACTCGGTTACCATGGTGATTAAGATCAAAATATTGCAGGTGCTTGTCAAAACTGAAATTGAATTTAAGTTTTTTTTAAGGAAAAATACGTAATTAATTGGATTTAAAGGTTGTATTTAACTCAAAATTGGTTTATCTAGGATACTATAAACAAGGTAAGTGGATTAAATCAAAAAAAGATACTTTTAAGTTATTCCTCTTAATTAGAATCGATTTAAATTAACTACAATTAACGAATTTGTTATGAATGCGAGATAATCGTAAAGAATTCGAATTGTTTTAAAATTAATAAAAATTAGGTTAGAAATGATAAAAAAATCGGAATAAATTTTTATTATTTTAAGGTTATCCAACTTGACTCGGTTACCATGGTGATTAAGATCAAAATATTGCAGGTGCTTGTCAAAACTGAAATTGAATTTAAGTTTTTTTAAGGAAAAACACATAATTAATTGGATTTAAAGGTTGTATTTAACTCAAAATTGGTTTATCTAGGATATTATAAACAAGGTAAGTGGATTAAATCAAAAAAAAGATATTTTTAAGTTATTTCTCTTAATTAGAATCGATTTAAATTAACTACAATTAACGAATTTGTTATGAATGCGAGATAATCGTAAAGAATTCGAATTGTTTTAAAATTAATAAAAATTGGGTTAGAATTGATAAAAAAATCGAAATAAAATTTTATTATTTTAAGGTTATCCAACTTGACTTGGTTACTATGGTGATTAAGATCCAAATATTGCAGTTGCTTGTCAAAATTGACGTTGAATTTAAGTTCTTTTAATGAAAAACATATAATTAATTGGATTTAAAGGTTGTATTTAATTCAAAATGGGGATCCACAGTTCCCTCTTCTTGAAATCAGTTCTTTCGACTGTTCATTTAGAAATCGATGGTCGTTGATGAAAAAAATCATTGAAGACGTGCCGCACTTTATCATAAGATCTTGTTCTATTCCCAAAGCCACGAATCATTGAAAGAGTGTCAGCTTTTGCTCCATTTTTGGAATTAATAAAAGTAAAATTAGAAAACAAGTTTATTGAAAACAGTCGAAAGAAACCCTCATAATTCTTGAAAGAATTAAGGTATCGGGTTTTAGTTTATGGGGTTGTGTTTCTTTTTTCATTACCATTATAAAACAAGGTAAAACTCGACAGGGGTTGCTATTTAAAAATGTAGGGGTGGTCATTCCCTAAAAAAACTTCACATTGCATGGAAGTTGTAAACTATCTAAGAATGCAGTTTTGTATTAACTCTTTACTGATCTCCAATTTGGTTTGATTTGGTTGTATATTAAATTTTAAACAAAGTCTCTGAGGATGTGCTTAGAGCGAAACTAGTCAGACAAAAATATAACAAAATAAACCAGTGAAATTCTTTACTTCAGTTATTAATTTGTCTATAATCAGATTGAAAAGGGTAGGACTTAAGCTATTGCCTTGTCTTATTCTTGTCTGCATACATATTCTTCTTGTCTTCCTGCCTTCTTTGACTTGTATTTGGGTTCAATTGTCCTTTTAACTCGACTATAACGTTTTTTTTTTATACAGGGTGTCTCACGTAACTGGTTCGTTAGAACTTTATTAAGGTTCCACTATTCGTAGAAGTTTGAAATTTTGGTAGCATGGATTGTTCATTCTAAACTTTCGATCTAAAATATTTGCAAGATGGCCACCACTTCCTGTCTACCGGAAGTAGACCACAACTTCGTTATTTCAAATGGAATGCTATAGTTTTTATTAAACCTTTCAATTATACGTAAAAAAATATATTAACTTTGATAAAAGTTGTTGGTACCTAGCGTTTTTTGTTTTCGAGTTATTTTGATTTTTAGGTATTTTTGGCAAATTTCACCATGCTCTTTAAAAGCCCATATACGCTTATAGCTACATTGGCACGATTACTCTTCAGATGTTGTCAAATGGATTGTCATTTCTTGTATCAGAGTATCTTATACAGGTTGGTCAAAAATTGAATTACCGTTTCTCCATATTCAATGGCTACAGTGAAAATGGCTAGTCGAAAATTTTGTTAATAGCAAACCAACTTCGTTTTGAAATTTGCGATGAAAATTTAAACAGTGAACTTTTAAGGGGTACAGTTACTGATTTTTGCGAAAGTTTACCTCTTAACACATAATTATAATTGTTGGTATCAATTGGATGGCGCTCCAGCACATTTTTCACGGCAAATTTACCAACAAGTAAACAAATTGTTTGATGACCGGTGGATTGGAAGAAATGGACCATGGCAAAGGCCTCCACAATCTCCAGATTTAACACCATTGAATTTTTATTTGTGGGGTCACTTAAAAAATCAAGTGTATCTAGTCGTGAGTTATTATTATAGAGTGGTGCGTGCACTATATACTATTGATGGCGACCAACTTCTACGGGTCACAACCGTAGAAGTCCAAAGAAGAGTTGAAAGAGTTTCTAATTTAATAAACTGTCAAAAGGTCTTGGCCTGCTAACAAAAACACAAACGGTTTCTGAGATTCTATGTCTGATTTTGATTAATTTTCCAATATCAGGGAAACTACAATAAATAGGTATAGGACTGTTTATAGATAATTTGTAGAGAATTAAATTCCCTTTCTGATATGGTATAGAAATATGGGGCGTTCCATTTAAAATTTTCGACTTTCTCGCAATTGAATATTGAGAAACGGTAATTCAATTTTTGACCACTCTGTATAAGATTCTCTGATACAAGAAATGACAATCTATTTGGCAACATCTGTAGAGTAGTAGTGCCTCTACGAATAGTGGAACATTAAAAAGTTCTAACGAACCAGTTACGTGAGACACCCTGTATATGGGTGCATATGTTTCTTGTTGAGGAGTTTCACAACTTCTGGAAGTGTTACGCGGTCAAAAACATTCGTTAGATTTGTCCATGATGTGTCTGATTGCAAAGATGGCATCTATAGTTTCTTCCTAAAGCCTTGTCGTTTTTCACTTAACCCATAAGGAGATATTTCTTCTTCCAGGATTTTTGTGAATTTAGCACTGAACCTAATTGTGTGATTCTTCAACACTGGAATCACACTTTTTTTCCATCCCGTTGGTATCCTCCTGCACTCTATGATTTTCTTAAAGAGATTTCCTACACTTCAATAGCTCGTTAGATATTTCATCTACTCCAGAAGACTTAAAATTATTTCAATTTGGGTATTAATTGTTTCACTCTTTCGCCAGACATGGTTCAAGGTTCTCGAATGCTGTCGTCATGCTGCTCCGTGTCAAGATTTATTATGTAAAGTCCCTAGATTATCGAAGTACCGCGGTTAACCGCCATTTTGGATAGAAAGTTAAGCGGGAAATTTAAAACTATGTCGTTCTGTTGATAAAATTACGCCAAATTTCCTTTCTTTTTTTTTCTCGTGGTACTTTGAAGAGTCGAAAGCCCTTCTTACTGCAACTTTTGCAACTCCAAAGGCAACAGGACGGCATTATTTTTGTAAATAACTGGTGACAAGCTGTCAAACCGCCATTTTGGCTCGAATAGTTTGAATACACAGGTTTCATGAACCGCGGATCTTTGATTATGTAGGGACTTTATTGCTGTGTTATGTTATATGTTCGTTTATTCATTTTTTCCTATTTCTTAACATATTCCACGAAGAAGGTTTCTTTTAGCCTCCATAAAGGTCATGTTCCATGTCTGCCAAGAATATTTCCCAATACACTCCCTTGATGTATTAGATCTTGTTGTTGTCTGCATTTAATATTAAGCTTTGGTATCAATATTTTAAATATTCCTTCCATTTTTCATTTTCCTCCTAAATTGAATTAAATTAAATTAAAGTAGTTTCATCTTGTTGTTCAAAAACCATCATCAACGAATGTTGAGAATGAGATGGTGACCGATTATTAGAACTTCTAATCAAAGCGGTTTTTTCCCCTGCATGCTCATTTAATGAACAATCCGGGGAACTATTTTCTGTATGAAAAAAATTATTCGTTGTTGTACTACTTGTTGATGGTAAATCATGTAAATCTGGCGAAGCTAATGGAGGAAACGTTTTTGGGCTTGACTCCAAATTATCTCGTAATTGCATCACTGGATAAGATTCGCGATACCCGGAAGTACTCGAAGTTTGTGAAACGGCGCTATCTTCATCCCAAGAACCTTCAGTTTTAGCACGCATCGATATTCTTAAACGATGTGGATCAATTGGAAGTGATTGTGAAATCGGTACTGGGTCACCTTCCGAATCTTTTGATGTTAATTCTTCCGATTCTAATTTCATATGGGATATCTAAAAAGAAACATCACAAATTTATTACGATTTAATGATTATTTTCACCTCGATTTTGTTTCTTCGACTTTTTCTTAATCGAAATGTTTTCCTCCCTTGTGGTTTTATTCTTTGTAAGCGGGATTTTGATCCGGGTTGCATTTCGCCAGAACTATCTTCAGCCGGACTTCCCGGGCTTAAAGGAGTCGTTGATGTTTCACCTTTTAAAAAGAATTATTTTATTTTAATTAAAATAAAAAGATTGTTTTCGTTTACAACAAAAAGCGAAAAAGCATTTTTATTTTTTACCTGAAGAGTGTCTAAGTTCTACGGATGGCACAAAACGTAGTTTATGATGGGTTCTATGTTGCGAACTAAACGCATCGGATTTAGTATGCTCATCACATTGATCTGAAACATGCCACAACACAAACACAGAGAAAAGAACAAAAGCTTTTTTACAAAGGGGGTGGTGGTGGGGTAATAATAATAATAATAATAAAAGGATACCTGGGATGATTCCTTTTCCTACAACAGGACTATTTTGAGTTTGAGTTTCTTGGACTTCATTAATATTTGCTTGATTCGGGGTTGATCCATAACTTGTACTTGATGACGATTCTTTTGTATTCGGCAATTGTTGATGTTCCGGAATCATTTTGTGCTTTAAATCACCCCCGGTTAATATTTCTATTAATGAGGGTCTTTGATTTCTCGTTGTTGTGGTCACCTCGCTTGTAATTTGAATTGTTGTTTGAGTTTGTGGATCTTTTTTATTAATTTCCATCGATTCTAAAAAGGCTATTATTAAAATTAAATAAATTAAACATGAAATTTTTACTGTGTTCTAATTCTTCTTTTAACATTTTCATTTCATGGGCTAATTCCATCAAATGCGCACCACGACTTTTCGGGGCTGCTAAACCGATTCCACGGATTTTTTCGCGTATTTTTGTGTGCATATTTCTTTCAAAATCGGATATTGGTGGTTGTGCTAACTAAAAATTAAGAAAAACTCTGAAGTTAGCTACGCTTCTTTAAGAAGTCATTTTTGGCATATAATTTTCGAATGTTTTAAACATAAATTAATAATTTTGCACTATAATAAACACTAAGTGAAAGTGTATTGCTATCTTTATAACTTGATAGAGTTAGTCAATAACCTTAAAAAGATTTTAAATCAATTTGATAAAAAAACACAATTGACAAGTTGGACGTCAAACGTCAAAATAAAGTTTGAGGTTATATTTACGCATTCTTTCACCGCCTTTGAACGAGCTCAGTTAAAGATAACTTGGATGAGTTGCTCTGAAAGAGCAACTGAAATGAGTATTATTTATTCTATATTAAAAATTATATGTTAAGTGCATATAAAAAATACATGTTTTTAATGTAATAAAAACAACTCTGAAGGTAGTTACGCTTCTTTAAGTCATTTTTGGCATATAATTTTCGAATGTTGTTTTAAACATAAATTAATAATTTTGCACAACAGTAAACACTAAGTGAAGATGTATTGCTATTTTTATAACATGATAGAGTTATTCAATAATCTTTAAAAGATTTTAAATCAATTTGATGAAAAAACACAATTGACAAGTTGGACGTCAAACGTCAAAACAAAGTTTGAGGTTGTATTTACGCATTCTTTCATCACCTTTGAACGAGCTCAGTTAAAGATAACTTTGATGAATTGCTCTGAAAGAGGAACTGAAATGAGTATTATTTATTCTGAATTAAAAATTATATGTTAAGTGCAAATAAAAAATACATGTTTTTAATGTAATAAAAACAACTCTGAAGTTAGCCACGCTTCTTTAAGTTGGCATATAATTTTCGAATGTTGTTTTAAACATAAATTAATAATTTTGCACAACAATAAACACTAAGTGAAGGTATCTTTATAACGTTATAGTTATTCAATAATCTTAAAAAGATTTTAAATCAATTTGATAAAAAAACACAATTGACAAGTTGAACGTCAAACGTCAAAACAAAGTTTGAGGTTATATTTGGTTATGTTTACGCATTCTTTCACCGCCTTTGAACGAGCTCAGTTAAAGATAAGTCTAATGAGTTGTTCTGGAAGGATAATTATTTATTCTGAATTAAAAATTAGAAGTATATGTTACATGCATATAAAAAATACATGGTTTTGATGTAACAAAAACAACTCTGAAGATAGCTACGCTTCTTTAAGTCATTTTTGACATATAATTTTCGAATCTTATTTTAAACATAAATTAATAATAAAAAAAGTTTTCAAAGAGTTACTATACCCGAAAGAGACATTTGTATTGACGAAACCTCAGTTCCTTTAAAGGTAGGCTTATATTTATGCAATACATTCAGAATAAGAGGCAAATTTGGCAGAATTGTGCCTTAAAAACTGATATACATACAATTTGTGTGTATATTGTAGACAGGAGGAGTCGAAAGAAAATGTCATTGTCCCTACCAAGGTGATAATGAGGCTAATAGAGTCTTTACTTGATAAAATAGTACTTTATGGTGATAACTATTATACCAGCGTAGAGTTAGCTAAATGGACTGCCTAAGTCTGACGTCACAGAGATGGGTGGAGCTTATACTGACTCCAAACAATTTCGTTGCTAAGATAAATCGCCAAAAAATGTCATTTGAAATGTCATCACTTGGTGATTTATTGTTAGCAACACAATTAGCAACGAAATTGTTTGGAGTCAGTTTAAGCTCCGCCCATCACTGTGACGTCAAGGCTTAGGTTATCCATTGTTGCTATCCTGAAGAACGCATCTAATTGGAACTCTAAGATAAAACAGAAAACATAACAGTAAAGAGGAGACATTGTGGGAACGATATAGAGTGAAGGGATTGTAAAATATAAAATTGAGAGATAAACGCGACGTACTAAACATCTAGATACTCAGATTACCAGAAAGCTTACAATACAGCGCTACGCAAAGATCTGCACCACGCGGCGTCTACAGCAAATTTACGTATGGCACATACAGTGGTACAATAAAGTCTACATACACCCCAGAAAATCGTAATATTTCAGCTCCTGAAATGTAATTCAATGAAATTTTTATTTTTTTTGCCATAGCATTATCCATACTAACATAAATTAGTGTAATTAGTAATCCTCCTAACAAAGTAAAGGTAGTAAGGTCTCATACTTAAAGGTGGTGCATCCAGACCAATTCGCATAACTTAATTTCTCCTCAAAGGGATGGAAAAGGTAATCGATCAATACCTTAGGAATGGAGTGCTTATCACTAATCCACTCCACCCTACCCAACATGCTTACCAGAAAGCAAAATCACCAATTACTGCTCTCCATGCTTTAATTAGCACTTTATATGAAGCAATTACAACCAAAGAGATAGATTTCATAGACATAGAGGGTGCTTTTGATAACACCTCATCCACAATCAAATGGTGTACAGTCATGTTGAAAAGTCGGCTGATCACAGCCAGCCTAGGAGGCGAGTCGTTGACTATAAAAGGAGCTAAGAGGATCTCCCCAAGGGGGAGTGCTATCACCTCTATTATGGTGCCTAGTAGTTGATGACTTGATGAAGGCGAGGAAAAAGGCCATTATGACAAACCAGATCTGCCGCAGGCTTCTAGGAAGGAACTGGGGTCTCAAACCACGAATGGCTCATTGGGCCTACGTAGCAATAATCAGACCACCCATGGTCTCCTACGCCTCATTGGTTTGGTGGCCAAAAACACAACAACAGCTGGCACAAATCCTGCATGTCTTAATATAACGGGTGCAATGAGATCCTGTGCGACGGCTGCTTTGGAACCCTACGTAAAAGTATACGTGTGTGTGTGTTGAACGATGTCAGACGACTGACTGGACTGATTGCTCCCCGCTCCACTACTCTTGCGATTCCCTTCCCACAAAGATATTCCGCGCGCATATACACACACACAAGTATACGTCCTATAGTCCTATGGTCGGCTTTTAAAGTTACCAATCTGTATACAGGGTAATTCAAATTCGACCCCCACCATTGCGATCTCAGAAACTATAAAAGATACAGAAATGGTTAAATGGGGGCAAAGTTGCATATCTTAGAGCTCATCGTTTTTCAAATAAGTTTTTGGATCTAGCCGTTTTAGTTTTTAAAATATGGCCGAAAAACAAAAAAATGACTTTTTCGTTTTTTGCCTATAACTCCTTTATTTTTCGTTTTTTCATGAATCTGAAAAACCAATCTTAAGGCAACTTGTTATGAAAAACGTCCTGACACAACTAGAAATTTTCTCCGACGTTTGGTTTTCGTGAAACTATCATCAACGCCATATTTGATTTTCGTTAGCAACACAGTTAGCAACGAAAATGTTTGTAGTCGATATAAGCTCCGCCCATCACTGTGACGTCAAGGCTTAGGTTATCTATTATTTGTCAAATAAACGTTGTTATTGTGTTTCCATGAGTGTCTACAATTTTTTTAATACTTACGAAATGGGCGCATTTGTGGTTTTTGGTAAATATCTTGAGAATGGTCTAGAATTTTAAGACACTTCGTATTACAAAAAATATTTGTATTTAAATTCTGAATAAGATAGTAAAATAATATGCAAGGTGCTCCGTTTGAAAATCTTAAGAAAATCTGGTTTAAAAATTATCAAACACCCATTTTTCAAAAAACCCTAATTATCTCTCAAACTATTAATGTTAGGTATAGGACATATGGGATATAAAAGATGTAAAATGAAACGCCGAAGACGATTAAGCAATAAAATATGGGAGGTGCCATTTAAAAAAATGAAGTTATGGTACTTCCAAATTTCGAAATGTTAATGTGCCATAGTAAAGTGACCAAACGTTCTAGACAGCCGTTCTCAGCACCAAAACATACTCCATCATGTTGCTTTGAATCCTAAATTGATATCCTAAAAATCGAGTGTTCTCTGATTTTTTGAACAAATGTCTGCTGGAGCAGATTTTTCTAGTAAAATTCGAATAACTCGAGAATGATCGAATCAAATTGGAAAAAGTAAAGTTATTCATAAATCTTGAAAATATACAAATCCAAATATACAAAAATATACAGTGTTTCATTTTAAAAAAATACATTTTGTGTCGTCACACTTTTTTGGACCACCCCATATATACGAAAATATTTTCCAGAAATACATTCATATGTACCGGGTGTAGCAGGATCATGGTACACCCCCCGTATCTCCTTTAGTTTTGAAGATAATTGATTCAAATTTGGGACATCTTTTTGACATTTCTAACGTCAATATTTTTTAAAATTTAATATTTAATTTTCCATTTAAGTGTGCCATGAGAGTTCCGTTTTATTCTAATTAACTCGCCTAATGCTAGAAAAATCTAAATTCCGTCATTATGATGAACTGTATTTGCACATAAATCACGTAATTTGGTACTTTTGGCGGAATTAGAATAAAACGGAACTCTCATGGCACACTTAAATGGAAAATTAAACATTAAATTCTAAAAAATATTGACGTTTGAAATGTCACTTATGTGGTCCATTGGATTCAGAAAATTATTCATATTTCAAAAATGTAATAATATACAGGATGTTCCATTTAAAAATCTAAAGTTAGTGTTACTTCCGGCGAAACCGGAATTGAAAACAAAAATTAATTGTATGTCAAAAAGTGTTTCTTATCATGTATATAGGATGTCCCAAATTTGAATCAATTATCTTCAACGGGGAATGTACCATGATCCTGTTACACCCGGTATAGTACAAGTCTGCGTTTGAAAGAAATTCCTAACTTAATTGGTATAGGAGCTATGGATGCCTGACGCACTATTGCAGGACCTGTATATTTTTTATGTAAAATATGGAAATAAAATAGACTGTATGTACTCTTTTGTTAAAAATTTTCAGTGAATTACATTTCAGGAGCGGAGATATCATTTTCTGGGGTGTATGTAGAGTTTATTGTACCATTGTAGAGGGTGGGCAAATTTGGGTGTTATTATAGGCTATCTCAGAAACTATAAGAGATACGAAAAAAGTAGATGCCATGTCCCGGTCTCTTTTTCTTTTTTTTTTTTTCAAAAGAGACCGGGACATGGCACCTACTTTTTTCGTATCTCTTATAGTTTCTGAGATAGCCTATGATAACACCCAAATTTGCCCACCCTGTACGTCAAGCCACGTGGCAGTCAACGTGTTAAAAATAGCGTTGAAGTCAGAATGGACTAAAATACCACCTCAATTAACCAATAAGAGTGTTCTTTTTGTAGTTAGATGTTAACTAGAGAATTACTTTTAAAAAATTTTTCAAGATAAGTATTAAATGAGTAATTTTTACCTTTTGAAAAATAAATGGTTGCATTAAAATAAATAAAGGAGTCCTATGTGTAACGACAAAATCTAAAAAATCCCACAAAAACGATCCAGCTTCATTCCGTTTCCCTAAATCCCTCATGGCTCTCGCAATTTTCGTCCAATCCGTAATTAATTCACCCTCGAAACAAACTGCCATAATTTTTAAAGCCAAAAAAGCAACCTGATAAAGCGACGTGTTAATCATCGATGACGTTTTTGTATCGCGAGTTCCTGTAAACGTTGCGGTGAAACTTCCGGTTCGAATTTCGGTTGCAGCTTTTTGCGTTGTTGCAGTCGAAGTCATCGCTTTCGTGTTTGGGGGACAAATCGCATGTAAAACCAACGTTAATGCGAATGTTATATCGGGTTGTTTCATTTGTTGAACATCTAAAAAAAAATTAAAATTAATTTGATTCAAAATTTATGTGTTAAAAATAACCTTTTCTTCCCGAACCAACTCGAAGACATAAAGGAATAATTAAGTTCATAATAATATTTTGGGTTTTTTCTTGTGATGAAAAAACCGTTCCACCACAAACTTGTTCTAAATTGTACATATCGGCTGTATTTAAAATTTGTAAAGCGATTAATCGAACGGCTGTTGAACAAAAATGTGCCGGTGGAGTTTGTTTCATTAAAGCAGCAGTTGCTGAAGACATTCCTTCAGTGCCACAATCGCTAACTAATAATGATTGAACCGTGTTGATTAATTGTTTGATGTGTTGCCAATGCATTATGTAAGAATATTTAAGCATTGTGTCGTAAATTCCTTTTAAAAGCCCCGCGGCTGCGTCCCAATCGGTGTTTCTTCGGATTGAAGGCTTTTTCGAAATTTTTTGAAACACTTTATCTAATCTGCGTAAAATTGTAACTAAAGCGGCTCTCATTGCATCGTTTGCCCACTCGATTGAGGGTAAAATATAGCTCATGTAGTGTTGAAGACCACGACAACCCATCGATTCGGGGTCATAAGGTGATACTTTTAATAAGCTATGAGCTATATCGGCTAATCTCTAAAATATTAATATTATTAAATAAAAATATTTGGGGAATTATTTTTCTTACTATATGCGAGCGAATATCTAAAAGTTCAATAACTTTCCCTTCTTGATTATTTTTTCTGTTTAATTCTTGTAATCGAACCGTTGCGCGACACATAAATTCCCCAACTAACGATAAAAGCACATCTCTAGGTCTACGATACTCAGCTCTAAGAACTTCAGAATCTTCTACGTCGTGTTCGTACATTGTTTTTGCCCTGGAGTGTTCGCTCATAAATTTCGAATGGGATTCGTCTTCGAAATCGAATCCTGGCGAATATGGTCCACGACTGTAATTTCTTTGGGAAGAACCTTTATGTTCTGGACTAGATCTATAAGGACCGTTATAACTTCTATAAAAAAATGTATAGTTATTTTTATTATACTGTTATAATTTAGTATTAAAATTACTTTGTAAGTGATTCACAATTATTCACAAGGGTTTTAATCGCGACCGCTAATTGATGGATTATTTCTTTTTCCGTTTTACCCTCTCTGTTATAACTTGGCAATTGGATGTGTTGAACGTAACATGGTAAAATTGCCTCTAAAATTATCTAAATCAAATTTAAAATATTAATATTTGAATTAAAAATAAAAATTAGGGTTTTTTTTAAACCTGTCAATGTCAAAATTTTAGGGTTTATGTTGGTATTACTGATCTAGTTTCGTTTTTAGTAATTATATTCTATTTTTTAATTCGGAGGAGTAAAATGAAAAGTCATGTTTATACAAAATATCACCATATTGCATATTTTGATTGAACTAAAACTAGAATTAACACTAGACCTAGAACTAGAAAGTATCGGGTGTTAGTTCTAGTTTTACACTATCATTAGAACTATCACGAGACTTAGAACTAGAATCATTCGGGTTTAGCCGTCTTGAGAGACGTGCGGCGAATTTTATGCTATTTCTTGTAATTCGCGTTTTTATCCTTATTTTTCTAACAAAAATAAAATAAATTTTGACAATGTAGGGATATAGGTATCTAGCAGTTGGTAACATCGTAACACTTGAAAATAGAAATTTGAATTGATAATTAGACAAGTTATTTTATTTTTGTTAAAATAAAAAAAAAGGATAAAAACGCGAATAACAAAAAATAGAATAAAAAACACGTTTCGTAAGACTTAAAGCACACTCATTTTAAAAATTTTAGGTTGGTATTAAAAATTTCACCAAAATCGTCATTTAGAAAATTTAAACATTCATTTTTGTTTATTGTTAAAATGTAATTTTGAAGCTTTTTGGCATTATTTTTAAATTCAAATTCTTTTTTAGATTTAAAAATCCCATTTTAGAGAGGTGAAATATTTGAAAATGACTTTTAATAAATGTCATTTTGACGTTTTAATTTATTTTTAAATTTAAAATTTTAGGTTGGTATTAAAAATTTCACCAAGATCCTGAATACGTCATTCTTGTTTAAGGTTCAATCAGCATTTCGCGTTATTTTTAAATTCAAACCGTCTTGAGAGACTTGCTGCTAAATCCGAATGTTTCTAGTTCTCGATCTAGTGTGAGTATTAGTGGTAGTGCTAGTTAGCATAATATATTACTATGTAGTATATTTTTATTGAACTAAAACTAGAATCATTCGGGTTTAGCCGTCTTGAGAGCCGTGCGGCTAAACCCGAATGTTTCTAGTTCTCGGTCTAGTGTTAGTTCTAATTTTACACTAGCACTATCACTAGAACTAAGACAAGACCTAGAACTAGAATCATTCGGGTTTAGCCGTCTTGAAAGACGTGCGGCTAAACCCGAATGTTTCTAGTTCTCGGTCTAGTGTTAGTTCTAGTTTTACACTAGCAATAGAACTAATACAAGACCTAGAACCAGAATCATTCGGGTTTAGCCGTCTTGAAAGACGTGCGGCTAAATCCGAATGTTTCTAGTTCTCGGTCTAGTGTTAATTCTAGTGGCAATGGTAGGTAGCGCTGGTTAGTATTAGATATTACTATGAAGAAGATATTACTAGAAGATAGACTATGTTGTATATTTTTATTGAACTAAAACTAGAACTAACACACAACTTTTCAAACAAACTTTTCAACAAAAACAAACTTTTCATTTCATTGAAAAGTTTTCATTTCTTTTTTAACAACGACGTAGTTCAACCATTTTTAAACTGTAACGTGCTCGTCTTTAGTTTAAAAATTAGTTTAAAACTAATTTTATGATATTTCTCGGAATTAAGATATGTTCTACAACATAATCTGTCAATCCTACAATTATTTTTTGATAAGATGGATGTAACTTCCCATTTTTAACGAAGTCTCTGAAGATGCCTATAAGGCGAAACTAGTCAGACGAAAAATAAAATTTTACAACCAGTTAAAGTACATTGAAACTATGATGTAGGTAAAAGTAAAAACTTTTTGAGAAATACTAAAATGTTTAATTCAATTCAAGCAAACATGTTTCGAAACTAATGTTTCATCTTCAGTACTTAGAATATTATATAAAATAATGGAAAAATATTTTGTTAGTAGGTGGGATTTAGGAATGGATCTAAAGTTCTTTCAACTTAATTTACATATAAAAAAATTAATTTAACAAAATCAAAATATTCAATATTTTAGTTAAATCTTGGAAGGTAACATATCTAGATAACTAGATATTGAATTAAACATTTTAGTATTTCTCAAAAAGTTTTTACTTTTACCTACATCATATTTTATTATATTAGAGAAATATGGAGAATTTCATCCCATTTATACATTGAAACTGTCAGTACTGCTTACAGTACTAATTTTCCATGAGTTTTGCAAATTTCAGGTTCAGCAAAGTCATTGATCGGTTTAAATTGAGTTGCAGCAGAAAGAAAAAAATCCTTTTGACATTTCTTATTTCATTGCAAACCTCGTTTTACACGGTTTTTAGCTAATTTTGGGTTGAGCAAAATCTTTAATCAATTTAATTTGAACTGCAGCAAACTTCTTACCATGTCTAAAACAGGAAATCTTGCACAAAATACTTCTGCCGTTTCTTATTTCATTACAATACTAATTTTCCACTAGTTTTTGCAAATTTCGGGTTCAGCAAAATCATTGATCAGTTTAAATTGAGCTGCAGGAGATTCCTCATCATGTTTAACCCTTTGTGTTCCGCCGGTACTTTAAAGTACCGGTAGTTTTAAACACTCATTTTAAACTTTCTACTATACAAGAAAGAATCTGTATAAAAAATGACACAATCCGCACTGTAGGGTTTTTAGGTATATTTAAACTTATTCGTTCAGATGTGAGGTTAGAAGTTTAGTGAAAAGTGGTCTTGTTGAATTTTGTTGTTCAAAAAGGTATCTCTTTGATAAATGGTTATTAGGTGTGATTATTACAGATCATTTTAAAAAGAAAGCTTTGAGCTTTAATTTAAAATAAGTCTCATTCCTTAATTTCAATAAATACGGTTTCCAGGAATTTTTAAATTAGCATCTTTTTTGACACTTTTAGGTTATACGAAAATGTAAGTTTTATTTCAATATTTCTTTTCTCAATATTTTTCCTATCCAACCCAACAATTATTATACATCATTGTAAAGAGAAAGCTTTGAGCTTTAATTTAGAATAAGTCTCATTCCTTAATTTCAATAAATACGGCTTCCAGGTATTTTTAAATTAGCATCTTTTTTGACACTTTTAGGTTATACGAAAATGTACGTTTTGTTTCAACATTTTTTTTCTCAATATTTTTCCAATCCAATCCAACAATTATTATACATCATTGTAAAGAGAACGATTTGAGCTTTAATTTAGAATAAGTCTCATTCCTTAATTTCAATAAATACGGCTTCCAGGAATTTTTGAATTTGAATCTTTTTTGACACTTAGATTACGAGAAAATGTTAGTTTTTGCTCAATATGTTTTTTCTAAATATTCTATCAGATTTTCGTCGTTCTGTAAATACAGGTCTAATAAATAAATATTCAAATTTGCTGCGTCGTAGCGCAAGTTCAAAAGAAAGACGAAGTTGTGAAAATTGTTCTGCCAAAGCTAAACCCCACTTAAAATGTACTGCGTGCAATGTTTATTTATGTTGTCATGAAAGAAAGAACTCTTTTTGCTGCATATTTTGCTAAAATTGATTCCAAAGGCCTCTACTGAGTGTATTTTGATAGCGTTTTAATTCTGTTACAAAGTTTTAAAATTTTTGACTTCTTGGGACACAAAGGGTTAAAATGCAAATATTGCAAAAAAGTCCTTCTAGCATTTCTTGCTTCATTGCAAATCTAGTTTTCCATGATTTTTAGGAAATTTTGGGTTGAGCAAAATCTTTAATCAATTTAATTTGAACTGCAGCAAACTTCTCCCCATGTCATTGATTAGTTTAAATTGAGCTGTAGTAGATTCCTCATCATGTTTAAAATGGAAATATTGCAAAAAAATCTTTTTTGCATTTCTTAATTCATGAGAAAATCAATTTTCCATAATTTTTTGCAAATTTTGATTTGAGCATTCCTCTTTGCTTATAGCTGCAAATATCCAAAGAAAATTATGTTTGTCATCTCCTATTTATCTGGAAACCCAGATTTTTTTAATTTTTGCAAATAATGTTCTGAATTTTTGATCAATTTTATTTAACCTCCTTCATATACCTCGTTATCTATAGCAACAAATATAGAAAGAACAACTACTTTTCCCAGTTCCTATTTTTTTATAAAACCACATTCCTTTCAGTTTTGCAAGTTTCAATATGAGCAGAATTTTCTATGTTGTTTCTATCGTTGTAAATTTTTATTAAACTAAAAGTTGGTCAGTATTATACTAGCACTTTCACTAGAACCAACACAAGACCTAGAACTAGAATCATTTCAAATTTTCCTTGTGTAATTTTTGCTTAAAACTGAGTAATAAAATAAAGAAGCGTTGCTTCTTTTTAACACTCCGAATTAAAAAAAAAAGGTGATATAACAAAATTCCCTGTTAATATTTTCAACTTCACAACAATTTGACAGGTATTAAGAAAATGATGTACTTACCAGCATTTGATATCCTCTAATACTTTCTGAAGAATATGAAACAACCATAACACACAACGAAATACAATCCAATATTGTCACCATTTCGTTTTCGTCGTGATAACAAAAATCGATCGCTTTTAATGGTTTATCTTCTTTAACTAATTCAGCGATATTAAGAGGATCGGGTGACGGAGTTTCCAAGCTAAGCAATAAATTAAATAAACAACTCGATTGAATCTAAAACAATAAGATTAATAAATAATTTCGTAATAACTCGAATTTGAAACAACCTTATGTGCATCACCATAAGTTCCATCTTCATCCGTATCCAACATAGCGGAAACGGATCCAAACATTTGAAGGATAAACGGTTTTCGATTCATTAAATAAAACTGTTTGACGGCATATTCAACTGTAGTTGTAACCAATTTATTAGTTTGGTGGTTTGAGTAAATTTTTAATAAAGTTGGCATAATTAATAAATATCCGTTTGTTGAAAAAATGTTTTTGAAATGAAACGCTGCGTTAATGTAAGTTGCCATAACGTAACGTAAAATGCACGCATCCTCCGAATGGAGAATAAACGCCCCATTTAATACATTTAAAAATAAGTGGATGTCGCCGGAATATGCGAAATTTCCAGCCATAGCTTCGAACATTCTTGCAATTAATCGAATCCACATGAATTTATGCATCACGTCTAAACCCAAAAGCATCTTAAACAAATTAATTAATAAAAAATAAATTAATAATTAAATTTAAGTACTCGTCCAACTTCTCCTCCTTTATATAAATCTAAATCGGATTCGAGTGCTTTTCTTGGAAACGAAGGTAATTTCATGAGTTCTTCGTGTAGAAAAACTACTCTTTGAACTACCATATCAACGTTTTTTAATATAGCCCAGGTTAAAAGCACTTTTCCGATTTCGACAAATTTATAATTTAACTCTTGTTTTTGTAAAGCATTAAAAGCGTCTTCCGGTTTCATATGGACCAGTTCTAATTGCGGGTATTGGGAACGTTTAAAAAAGTAATAGTCTCGCACGTACGATGAAGGATTTTGAATTTGATCTAAAATATAAAAATAGAAACAATTTAATATGTAATTGTAATCTAATGCTATAAACGAAGAAAAGAGAAATGTACCTAATAAAACTTCAATTCCAAATTTATGGAATACTGTTGAATACAAAAAACGTCATAGAAAAGAAGGTGAGAGTCCTGAAAACAAATCTATAGCTCCGAAAATAAATACAGTGTCTTGGAAAACACTGGAGACGATACAGATCCTACTGATATTAATCCAACCCAAAATTCAAAGATAGTCACTCTATATTCATACAAGATGTTAACTATATTAAAATCTTGTATGATCTTTCGTTTGAAGAGTTTAAGCAAAGAGCAGGTTAAAGTGTAAATAAATAACTCTGATGATTACTCTGCTACCATAAAAGCCCTAACTGAAAAAGGAACCAAATATTATACGTAATATCCACTTCCTCTGACATTAACAATATTAAAACTGCAATTAAGCCCCAATTACTTCCCGTTATTCAATGTTGACTTGACCCCTAGTTCAAACAATAAAGACATACATCAAATAACTCGCCTTTTAAACACTGTTGTCGAACCTCCTCATCCTAAGAGAGACTTACCACAATGCAGAGATGCCAAAATTTTGGTCACACAAAAGCTTACTGCAATAGAGAACCCGGTTGCGTTAAATGTGCAAGTCAAGTGTGTTAACTGCGGAAAAAACCATCCTGCAAACTATAGAGGCTGTCTTGTTTATAAAGAACTGCAAAAGAAACAATTTCCTTCTCAAAAAATAAGGCTATACATAACACTGCAGGTATGCCAATCTTACCAGAGGAATTTTTCCAAGTGATACGAAATTGCACCAGCTGCAACAAGAAATACAAAACGCATGCCCTCAATCTTCTATATCAAACAATCTTGAACAGATCATACAAAAAATGATGGAGAGGGTGGACAAAATGTTCGACCTCATAATTACGTTAATATCAAAACTTAATGTTCAACAGTAGTATAAAGATAAGTGTATGGAACGCTAATGACTTGACTAACCATAGTTGAGAAATCAAAACTTTTATTACACAACATAATATTGATGTTATGTTAATTTCTGAAGCTATTTTAAGTTTCTAAATTATGCAACATATAGAATCCATCATCCGTTAGGAAAGGCACGTGGTAGAACAGCTGTAATAATTAGAAATTCTCTAAAACATCAGTTGAAGTTGAGAGCTTAAATTATATAAACTTTGAACACTCAGTAAACATGAATATTCCTCTCAAAAATGAAACGGACATCGAAAACGCAATAAATGACTTCACAAAATGTATTCAAAAAGCTGCATGGATATCGACTCTTCAACCAAAGCATCATAATAAAATAATTCATTATTTACACTATATTAATTGAATATTAAGAAAAACCTGGCAGATAACTCGATATCCTGATACAAAAATAAAACTGAATAGTATTACATTTCTTATTTTCTTAAGTAATCTCTCTATACAGGTGAACTTTTAGTATCTAAACCGTTTGAAAAACAAAAATATTTTATACAAAAGTTGTTTGACTCATCACTTTCTATTACGTAAAATTATTTTCACTTATACCGGGTGTTCCATTTAAGCGTAGCGGAGAGTACGTAAATTTGTTTAAATGGAACACCTGTATATTTTATCATATTATGAATACAACTAAATTTGTTTATACAACCGTATATGTTACTATTTCACAGCTTTCATAGTTCCAGAGATATTCAATTGTTCTTCCAAAATGTGCCCATTACAGGATCTTTTTAAAAACGATGTAAAATCGACATTTTTTCCGATTTTTCCTTGAAACTACGTCAGACAATAGTTAAAGCCAGTAGGTAGATGATAGTATTCAAAGATATTAGATACATTATACAGGTTGTTTATAAAGCTTACTTACTTTTGATGTTTTTCAAATGGCTTTTTCTTAAGTTTTATAAATGGAACACCTGTATATTGTGCGCTAGTTGAATTGCTCATCAAGTTCCCTTTAATTAATGATAAATATGTCATATGTCTAACTTTAATAGTTTTCCTGATATTTAGAATTTAAAGAAAAATGTGTAATAAAATGTCATTATTGTACTTAAAAAAGTGACAGAATGTAATATTTTTTTTGTTTGTCTGTCATTTGTAAGTCAGTAATATTATAATACAATTTAAAAAAAATTTTAATAAATAAATAATCAAAACGTGATAAATATACAGAAAATACAATTAAATAGCAGAACAATTTCTAAATTATTTAAAGGAAATGCAGTAACAAACTATAAACAATTACGAAACATTGTTCAACAAGTAGGTATTAATTTAATTAATATTTCGAAGTTGTTCAAAATGCCGCCCATTTTATTTTCTACAAGCATTAATGCGCTGTATAAAATACCTTGAGGTAAGGGATACCTCTATATAACATGTGCATCTTATTTTCTCTAAAATCGTAAATTATATGGCAAAACAATTGCATATTTTATTATTTACATCCTTTTAAATCTCCTAAACTACCAAGTCGCATTAAAATTTGGTATATGACAGCAAAATTATTTTACATTATAAAATGTTAATCAAACAATAAAAGGAAGAACAAAAAACTGATTAAAATAGACAGAATATAATATTAAGTACAATAACGCACATTTTCTTACACATTATTCTTTAATTTTCAGGAAAACTACTAAAGTTAGATATATGACATGTTATCATTCATTAAAGGTAACTTGATGGGCAATTCAACCAGCACACGATATACAGGGTGTCCCGTTAAGCGTACGGAGCGGCTGTATCTCTAGAACGGTAAGGCCAAGAGGTTTGGGAAAAAATCCTTATAAGCAAAGTGACCAAGAGAAATAGCTGGAAATTATTTTGAAGTTCGTAATTCGACCGCTAGGGAGCGTAACTGCCATTGAGAAACATAAAGTTCCCGCTATCTCAGAAACTTAGACGATGAGCTATAACTTTGACAACATCATTTAATAGCTTGGATAATACCGCATCGCTTTTGTTTTGCGATATTTCTCATATCTGTCATAATAAGGGAGGGGGAGGCCAATGCGTTTTCATATGTTTACATTTTAATATCTCCTAGACCATTCAACCGATTTGAATGTTTTCGGTGTTGTTTGAAAGAGCATTTTATGCTCTTTTTAAAGATATTTTCAGTAAGACCGTCTGCTTTAAAACAAATGAGCTAGAGGACGTTATCTGCAGCGATTACATATTTTTGTGATTTTTGAAGAAAAGTTAAATGGAACGATACTATTTACTTCACAGACCCTTAGTCACCTTAAAATTTGCTAAATTTTAGTGAAAACCGCATCTCGATATCGCCACCCGTTCTCGAGTTATAGAAGAAAATGTTAAAAACTCGAGTGCCATCAATCGGATCCAGTTACCTCATCGAGAAAAACAAATCACATAACCATGGTAACTGTAAACATGTCATTTACTAACGCAGAAGCGTATGATAGAGCGTATGATGATTTATTTTCAATGTTTCGAATACGATGCAACTGCATGGCAAAAATGTGCAATGCAATTACGACAAAGAAAGACATTTTTCTCTAGAAGTGTTTTTAAGATTGACTTAGCGATTACGGAAAACTGGCAACGTGTAGCCCATTCAGACATCTCTATGAATTCGTAAATCATATTGGTGCGCAATGTGATCCCACATAATCTGGGAACTCCGAAAACAATTGTCCACAAGAGTTCTCAAGAGAATAATATCTCCACCACGTTGTTTTACATCAGGCCTTAACAGATACCGATTATGATAACAGACTGAACTATTACCATTGACTTTTAAATATGATTTGGGCAAATCCAAACCTTTTATCACAAATGCTATGGATGCATGAAGCATCTGTCCACAAGCTGATGTAAACTTGCATAATATGCATTCTTGGTTCGAGCAAAACCCACATTGCTTTCACCCCTTTATCTATTGGGTAGACTAAACGACCTGACTTTTCAAGAAAAACCAATAACCAGGGAAAATATGACAAAACACTAAATACCAGTAGAAACGTGTCCAGGGCCGAGACTTAAGCAGCGCTTTTTTTTCGTCGAAACTAGATTAAATAAATGCATCGAGGTTTATGGAAGGCATTTCGCACATTAGTGAGTTATTTTTGCCAAAAATTTAAGTTATTCTAAGTGTTTTGGTTTATTTTGTTTTATTATCATTGTTGATGTTTCATTGATCCGTTGGCTTTTCAACACGCCTCAAAAGTAGTTTTGAAGCAGTTCTAAGCTTGGATAAAGTGTGAAGGAAGGTTCTAGATAATAAAATTTTTGTTCTCTCTTATTTGTTTCCTAAGGTAACTTGATCCGATTAAGATATACGAATTTTTAACATTTTCTTTTATAATTCGAGAATGGATGGAGATATCGAGATGCGGTTTTCACTAATATTTAGCAAATTTTATGGTGATTAACGGTCTGTGAAGTAAATAGTACCGTTCCATTTAACTTTTTTTCAAAAATCACAAAAATATGTAACCGCTGCAGATAACGCCCTCTAGCTTATTTGTTTTAAACCAAGCGGTCTTACTGAAAATATCTTTTAAAAGAGCATGAAATGCTCTTTCAAACAAGACCAAAAATATTCAAATCGGTTGAATGGTCCAGGAGATATTAAAATGTAAACATTTGAAAACGCATTGGCCTCCCCCTCCCTTATTATGACAGATATGAAAAATATTGCAAAACAAAAGCGATGCGGTATTATCCAAGCTACTAAATGATGTTGTCAAAGTTATAGCTCATCGTCTAACTTTCTGAGATAGCGGGAATTTTATGTTTTTCTATGGCAGTTACGCCCCCTAGCGGTCGAATTACGAACTTCAAAATAATTTCCAGCTATTTCTCTTGCCCACTTTGCTTATAAAGATTTTTTTCCCAAACCTCTAGGCCTTACCGTTGTTGAGATACAGCCGCTCCGTACGCTTAACGGGACACCCTGTACAGGATGTTCCATTTAAAAAACTTATGAAAAAGCCATTTGAAAAATATCAAAAGTAATTAAGCTTTATGAACACGCTGTATAGCGTATCTTTGGATACTATCATTTACCTGACGATTGTCTGATACAGTTTCAAGGCAAAATTGGAAAAAATGTCGTTGTTACATCGTTTTTAAAAAGATGTTGCAATGGACACATTTTGGAAAAACAATTGAATATCTCAGGAACTATGAACGCTATCAGTTAGTACCATATACGGTAGTATAAACGAATTTAATTCTATTCATAATATAATAAAATATACAGTCTGTTCTATTTAAAAAAATCTATATACTCTCCGTTACGATTAAATAGAATACCCTGTATAAAAGAAAATAATTTTTTCTAATTCGCGACAGTAATGAAAGCTATTACAGTACTCAAACGGGTGCTGTAATGAGACTCCTTACAGCATCCGATGCTGTAATGAGATTTTAGTAACATTTTATGGAACCAGTTCAAGTTGGTGACATTGAGTCATTAATTTTTCTAGTTGTGACAATTTTTGTCTATAGATGTTTAAACACGTTTTTAGCATCGAATACAAGGTCTACAATGATGAAGACATTGAACTCTGAGCAATTTCTTTTATTTTGGGAGGTGTACATGAAACATTTTGTGTTTTGACAGTTTCTAATTGTCAATTCAAGCTTCTATTTTCAAGTGTTACCAACTGCTACATACCTACACCCCTACATTGTCTAAATTTATTTAATGTTTGTTAAAAAAAGGATAAAAACGCGAATTACAAAAAATAGCATAAAAAACACGTTTCATAAGACTTAAAGCACTCATTCATTAAAAAAACTCGTGGCCACTCGTTTTTCAACTTGAATTCGTGCATTTCAAGCGTGTCTTACGAAACTTGTTTTTTAATATACTATTATATACTATAATAATAGAAAGTGATGAGTCAAAGAACTTTTGTAGAAAACATTTTTCTCTTTCTCAAACAAATTTTTAATACGCCCAATAGAAAAAGTGATGGTTACTGGACAAGAAGCAACAAAGAGAAAGCAAATACCCTCGCGGATTACCCACGCATCGTCTTTCAACCTCACCTAGAATTGCAGCGATTTTAGTCAAAAGTTCTGCAAGAAATATACACCTTGGTTCGTACCTAATTACATCATACATCAAGACTTCAATACTGTAAAAGATGTAATTGCCCAGGGAAGTTCCAAGTAGTCCAAGTTTGTTGTTATTGTATTGTTATAGATTGCAGTACTAAAAGAAGCTACACTTACGTGTTTTGTAATCCACCAAAAAATATTCTCTATGCTTATCTTCATCAATCCGAAAAAAATCTAAAGCTTCACGTAAAATTTGAAAAAATTGCGTATCTTCTTGAATCGGAAATTGAGATGGAATCCCCCCCGCATCGGGATCTAAAATCAAAATCATTTAACATAATCTAAATAAGTAAATTAAGTTTTATTTAACCTTGAGGACCATGAACGATAATTTTTTTAGCCGACGGAACGTTAGCTGTTAACAAAATGGAAGCGTCACATTGTTCTTTTCTCAAAATTTGTTTCAAATCTTTAAACATAATCCCATGGACGCTATGCACAACCATCCAAAGTAACGATAACGCAGTTCCAATTAATTTTTGACCATCCTCGTGAGGTGTCCTCGTATAAAACATAACGTAACCAATGATGTAATTATAAAGTGCGAACGCTGCTTGTTGCGGAAGTTTTGGAATAAATCGTATTAAATGTCGCAAAATTTTAAACATTTGATCTTGTTTTTCGCGAGTTAATCTTTCTAAGATGTATCTCAAAAATAACGCGCTGTCTTCGACTAAACAACACCAAATTACTTGGTAGGAGACTTCGTAAACGGCGCAACCATCGGGGGAAACAGCCGCGTCATCGAGGAGATTAATAATTTGAACAACAGCAGAACATAAACAAGAAGGGAATAAAGAGTGGGCTGAATGAAGATGATGCCCGGTGTTTCTTGCTTGTCCTTCTTGATCATCATCAGTAACTTCTTCGTGTTCTTCGTTAGTGTGGTATAAACTGGGTTCATGAGCCGCTTGGATTGTTATTGGGATTGTTGTTATTAAAAATTTTTCTCTTTCTTCGCGTTTTTTATCATCTTGTGCTTGAAGCGCCATTTTTATTAATTCAGTTTGTTGTTTTTTTCGCGTTTTTGTAGCCGTTACTAAAGATCTCTGCAAATCATTTTATTGATTATTAATTGGATCGCGTTATATATCACTTAACTAAGCGACATTTTATCGTTTTTAGAGATTTTTATGCTAGATTTACATTTTATATAGAATTTAAATCTAACTGGTTTCAAGTGAAGTATTAGCTTTGGACGAGTCGATGATTAAATTTATCTAAGAAACCCATAAAAAGGGATTACAAAATATGGATGCTCTGCGATAAGTCCCAGAAAAGAGAAATTCCAGTTCTAAAATCCCAGGATTAACTTATGGGACAGAGCCTAGGTTCTAGGGTTGTGTACAAGCTTGTTGAGGGTCTTTTAGCAAATTATTACAATCCTGAAGATTGCGAAAGTTAATAGAAGAGAAAAAAATGGAAATATTGTGCCCAAAAAAACAGTGTCGATAAATTCGAGCAACTTTTAGCTAGCTACAAAATAGCAACAAATGGTGGCATCGTATATTTTTCTATTTCCTAGATGCTTCGATGGTAAAATGCATATTGCCTATATAAAACAATGAATCTGCCTGATAGATTGTAGGCCCTGGGTCTAGTAGGCCCAGTTTCAGTATCTAATTCCAAAAGGACTAAGAAATCACGACCAAAAATAAAAATTAAAAAATAAAGCCGTTTGTGCCAAAGAGTGTGCGATTAAATTCTGTTGCGCATCAGCCTAAGCATTGAACTAGAAGAAGTTACGGTGTATGTAGCACCATGGCAAAGCCAGTGCGCACTGACTGGCTATGTAGTACTTGTCAAATACCTCTTTGAGGGAAACTAAAATCCTGTTTTCAAAAAATCAAAAAGTTCGAACTTTCAAGTATTAATTTTGATTAAATAATAATTTAAATTAATATAAAAGTGTATGTAACATATAAATGAAACACAACCAGAAGGAAGGATACTAATTTTCCTATCTAATTTTTCCTTTCTGTTATTTCTGTCCTTAACGTGTAAAGGTATCCTTTCTTCTGGTTGTGTTTCATTTATATTAATTTTGACATATTTGTCAACTTCATAAAAAATCCTTTAAAATGAGTCCAAACTCGACGTATTTAACTTTGATATTAATGGAGATACACTCACTTCCGGTTTGAAACGTCAACGTCAATTTTGACATATTTGTCATCTTCATTAAAAAGCCTTTTTCTAAAACAACAGAGAAATTCGAGTTAGGGAAATTTGACTTAGAGAGATAAAATTACATTTGAAACCTAGTCAAACGTTTGAGCTTACGAAAATTATTCGACTTAGAGGATAATTCGAGATATAGAAGATTGAGTTAGGGGAATTTCACCGTATTCGTCAATTTCATAAAAAATCCTTTAAAATGAGTCCAAACTCGACATATTTAACTTTAATATTAATGGAAATACACTCACTTCCGGTTTGAAACGTCAACGTCAATTTTGATATATTTGTCATCTTCATTAAAAACCCTTTAAAATGAGTCCAAAGATGACGCACTTATCTCAAAAAACAAAAAAGTTAGAATAAAAAACATTAAACCCGAAGTTAGCAACAATGAAGATAGCAATTTAATTTTTAAATATTAATACCAACCTTAATTTTTATTTTTTTTTATTATATTTTTGTTTTTGTGACAAATATTAAGACATTTTATAAAAATTAAGAATATGTCAAAATGACATTGACATTTCAAACCGGAAGTTGCTTATATCTCGAGTAATATTGGAATTAAACGTATCATGTTTGGACTCATTTTAAAGGATTTTTCACGACGATTACAAATATGTCAAAATTGACGTTGACATTCTTAACCGGAAGTTGACCATAACTTCATTAATATTGAAGATAAATATGTCGTGTTTGTACTCATTTTAAAGGATTTTTAATGAAGATTACAAATATGTCAAAATTGAGGTTGACATTTTAAATCTGAAGTTAGTTATCATATAATAGACAACTTCATGATGTATTTTTTATTAAAAAAAAACTTTAAAATGAGTCCAAACAAGACGCAATTATCTCAAAAAATAAAAAAGTTTGGATAAAAGCATTAAACCCGAAGTTAGCAACAATGAAGATAGCAATTTAATTTTTAAATATTAATACCAACCTTAATTTTTGATTTTATTTATTATATTTTTGTTTTTGTGACAAATATTGAGACATTTTATAAAAATTAAGAATATGTCAAAATAACGTTGACATTTCAAACCGGAAGTTGCTTATATTTCGAGTAATATTAGAATTAAACGTACCATGTTTGGACTCATTTTAAAGGATTTTTCACAACGATTACAAATACGTCAAAATTGACGTTGACATTCTTAACCGGAAGTTGACCATAATTTCATTAATATTGAAGATAAATATGTCGTGTTTGTACTCATTTCAAAGGATTTTTAATGAAGATTACAAATATGTCAAAATTGAGGTTGACACTTTAAACCTGAAGATAGTTATATATAATAGTAGTTTTATAACTAAAGTTAATCTAGTGTTGGTCACTTTTCAGTACTTTTTTTTTATTTTTAACGTGTTTTTTGGGTCATTTCACATTGATTAAAAAAAATCGTCGATTTTTAAGCCACATGATGATTCTTGAATTTTTCTAACTCAAGTTATATATATACAGGGTGTATCTAAATTGATGCGAAAGATTTTAAGGGGTGATTTTTGAACGAAAATTAAAGGGGGTCATATAACTTTTTATTATTATTATTATTAAAATCCATGTTGCGAGATTAATTATTAAGAATTAGATACAATAAAACAATAATGTTTTTTAAACTTCAGTTTCTCGCGTTTATTTTAAATTTCCTCGGTACCGGTTTCGACACTATATTAGGTCATCATCAGCCGAATCTACAATTTAATTGAATTACAATAATACAAGTTATGAGATGCGTTTTTCAAAGAACGGGTTTGAGAAGAAAGGAATTTAACAATTCGCCGTTTCAAAAATCTTTTAAACATTTGAATAGGGGTGTAAAATTAAGATCTATTTGATCGTTAAGGAGGTTGTATTTTTTATATTTATTAATTTCATAAGCCTCTAAAAGGTCTAATTTAAAACCTTTGCTGCATTTGAGTAGAACTTTAACATTACTATATTCTATATTGTGACCTGTTTCGTTTCTGTGTTTATAGATGTTAGAATTACTTTTATTTTTATGTTCTGTTATTCTACATTCTAACTTTAGTAATTTATTTAAAGTAGTGAGAAAATGCTAGATTAATGTTATATTTCAAAAATATTTTTTTAGTTGCGGCTGTAATAGAGTTAAAGGGTATAGGTTTATGAATATTTGAATTTTGAATCTTAGAAAACAAAGGATCTTGTTTTATTTTAACTTTATGGATTATTTTATTAATTATATTTGTAGGAAATTTGTTATTTTTCGCCAATTCAAAAATGTAATTAAGTTCAGAGATCTTATTTTCTTGTAAAAAGAGGGTAATTAAAAATCTTTTCAATAAAAAATCGGAAACTAGACTAGAATTATTTAACTCCTGTTGAAAATATCAATGAAATTTGTTAATTATTATTGTTAGTGTCAGTGTATTATTTTTTTTTAATTAAATTATCAATTTTGGAAGAAACTGTTCTTAATATTTAAAAATTTGTCATTATGACATCAGCCTACTTGATATTTTTACATAAATAATCATACTGTGAATTTGTGTCAAATAGGTGTGAGTACTATTTTATTTTTTATGGACAAACTAACAATTTTAGGGGAAAATCTTAAGAGACAAAAAAGTTGCATATTGAATTCCTCTATTTAAATTAATTTTTTAAATAAAAAAATTTAGACGCATTAAAAAGTTTTGATGCGAAGTATCATAGGGGTGGATTTTTCACCCCCTTATAAAAACATATTAGGGTTATAAAAATCGTCTAAAAATGTCACCTTATTAGTAATAGTTATCTGCCAAATTTCATCCTTCCAAATTCCTTCATAGTGGATTTATTAAAGAAAAACAATGACAAACTTGGAGGAGAAGTGGTTTTGACCAAAAAGTTATATGAAAGACCTTAATTTTCGCTGAAAAATCACCCCTTAAAATCTTTCATATCAATTTAGATACACCTGTATAAAATAGAAACCAGTTGAAAAGTACAAAATCAAACTTCTTTAAAAATGTTTACACAAAACGTTATTTTGACTCTAGCATTTGTGATTAAATGTGTGCAGAAACGAATGACCAAGCGAATTCTGTGATTGTGATGGCTGTTATCAGTGTTTTGTGATAAAAATAACAATTTTCCTAGTTTGAGTCATATTTTTAGAAAGATGAAAACGAAAATCCCGTTTTTCTCAACATTGTTGACTTGTCGCTTAGTCAAGTGATGCATAACGCGGTCCAATTTATTAAAAAAAATCTTACATGTCTTTCCTGATTAATAGTAACTTCTTCAACTTTCGTTTTTACCAATAATTCCCAAGGTGAATCAACAACATCCAAAGATTCAATACCTATTTTCGGTGATGGTAAAGTAAATTCAATTCCAGGTGGTGGAACTTTAAATAAAACGTGTGCTCCTTCTTCCATACGCGGCCAAACTTGATATCTTAATTTCCATAATACTTGAAATCTCAGTACTGCGTTTATCCGGGTTGTTGGATCTGGATGTGTTAACCCATGTTGCATAATTTCGCTTACTTGCCCGGAACATTTCACTGCAGCTAAGATAAATATGGATGCTGCGCACGCGGCAACCTCTTGATTCCATTCTAAAAGTAATTCCCACGCGACGGGAAGCATATCCGAGAATTGATCGTCAGTTGCGATTACTGCCCCTTTTAAAAACGTCGCTAAAGGACTATGAAAACCATCCTTTACTTGCATTTTGATGTATTTTAGAATTGGGGGTGGTTCTTTGGATGCTTTTGATGGTTCTGATGATGGTTTATCTTCTTTATCGGTGGTTATATCTCTTGTTGAATCTTTATGGGGGTGCTGCTTCGACATTGGAACTCCTTCAACGTTTTTATCAATTCTAAAATGAAATAAAATTATTTTTAATCAATATTTTAGTGATTAATTACTTGTCCCTTTTCCCCATGCTATCTTTTCTTCTTATTGGAGAAATAGTTGATGACGTTTGATCAGAAACTTTCCTACTTTGTTTATCTTTTTTTCTTTTATGCGTTTTTGATTCAAAATCCATTTTGTGTTTATCATCTAACACGCCAAATTCTTCACCATAAACCTTAAAACAAGAAATTTTAGAATAATAATTATGAATGACGAATTTTGTATTGCAACCTTTTTAACTCCTTTAATTAATCTTGAGCAAGCCCTCATAACCCTTCTATAACAATAAGGGTGGCAATAATTTTGATGTAAACAATAAAAATTAAGCGAATTCGCAACGTGGACCATAACTTTCATCCAGGGCATGTTTTTCGATGTCTCATCGGTTTCGTTACTTTCACTGGGACTTTCTGGGGGTTGATCGTCGCTTAAAATCCCCGGGGATTCTTCGCCGCTAACTTCACCGGGGATTCCCGGCTCGGAAGTGTCACTTCGATCGGATAAGGAACTTACTTTTCGTTTTGATTGTAACGAATCCGTTCTGCGAACACTTTCGTGGATTTTCCCTAAATCAAAAACAACTGTTTTAATTATTAAATAATTAAGTTATTAATTAAATTATTATTCATTTACATTCAGTGTCGATATCTTTAGTTCCTCTCCGCAATTTTAAACTTCTTCTTTTAAATGATCCACCAGTTGTTGATGTTACACCTCTTCTTAATAAATATGGTCGAGATTGAGAAGCTCTCTTTGCATCGTCGCCCTAAAAAATCACAACATATTTAAATATATTTACATTTTATTCGATAAAAAAATCAATAAAGAAAACTAAAATCATTAAAATCGAGGTTATGTTATTTTGACAAGTTAACTTGACAGAAATAGTTTCGAAAACGTCAACTTCACTTCAAAGCTTTATTTAAGGTTATGTTTCCTGTCAAAGCAAAAAATCAATTAAAATTTCTTTGTCCAGGACTACACAACGAGCAAAACGAGCCCTATTATGAATTAAACATATTCGCAAAATTTCATTTTCATGGCGTTTATGGTTTTTGAGAAAAAAAAATTAAATCAAAATTTTCTGTCATTTTTGGAGGGGTGTAGCTCCTTAGGGGAGCCGATGTCGCCCATGATTCATATATCAAAGTACCCTTAAAATTGCCTAAAGAATCACCCCTTGAAGTTTGGGCACGTCATTCAGATACACCCTGTATATTACTAAATACTGTTATTATATACAGGATGGTTCAGTTTTTAATCGGGAAACTTTACCAGGACGTAGTACTAGCTAAAATAACACATGTCTTTTTTATAAACATAGGGTCGCATCTCTTTTGTTTTCGAGATATGAGCTGTCAAAGTTGAGCCAAAAATTTACATTTTATCTTTTATTTCGGGTATAAGTAAACCATAGAATTTGAAATTTTGTATGTATGTACTACTGGTTAATATCTTATTTTCAACCATACCTTAAACTTCCCTAGCGCCCTCTAAGGGGATGAAATTCACAACCCCTTTGATTTTTTTATAGCAACTTTTTAACACCATGGAATATTAACATAAAAAAATATGGGTTGTAAAGCTTATTCATTATTGGTACTTTTTTGTCTCTTTAGTTTTTTCCTTAAAGTTAATAGTTTTAGCGTAAAGTTTCCAGATTAAAAATTGAACCACCCTGTATAGTGTCCGCCAAAAAGTCAGCAACATCCGTTTAATTTCTGTTCCATTGTATCTACGTTTTTGAAATTTAGTTTATATAGGAAGTTCATACCGATTTTTCGATCTAAAGTATTTTCAAGATGATGGCCACTTCCTGTCCCCCGGAAATAGACCACAACTTCGTTATTTTAAATGGAATGTTATAATTTTTATTACACCTTTTAATTATATTCGAGAAAATAAGGTGATTTTGATAAAAGTTTTTGGTACCTAGCGTATTTCGTTTTCGAGTTATTTTGATTTTACATTTTTCTTGCCAATTTTCACCATGCTCTTTAAAACTCCATATCTCAGCAAACGTTCATTCAAAAAAGCTCTAAATTTGCACGATTACTCTTCAAATGCTGTCAAATAAATTGTCATTAGCTGTATCACAGTACCTTATACAGGGTGGTCAAAAAGTGAATTGCCTTTTTCTCGCATTCAATGGCAAAAAAGTCGAAAATTTTAAATGGTACGACCCATATTTTATTAGCTCACCAGAAAGGAAGTTTGCCATTTATTAGGCCATGATATTTTGACAGTTGTTTTGTTTAATTTACTTTTACAATTAACTTTGGTTGATAATCTTCTAGTTTACTATGTTTTATTTACCAAAAAAATAACAAACAGAAGAACAAATAAATGAAACAATGAAAACAAAAATTAGGTTTGGATAAAAAATGTAATTCTCTCTCTGGTAGGTTAACAAAATATGGGGCGTTCCATTTAAAATTTTAAGCTTTCTTGTCATTGAATATGGAGAAACGATAATAGACATTTTTGGCTTAATAGGTTTGTTAATATATATAACTAATCCACAACAGACCCTACAGACTCCATATTACATGCAGAAAAATGCACAGTTTGGTGTGGTTTGCACGCTGGTGGCATCATTGTATCCAAAATTGAACGTCCAGAATGCGCTTCGTCAACAACAGCCGAGGTGCCCCTATGCCCAAAATCCATTATGCCCGTTAATGCCATATATTGATCTTTCGAACAAAAACGTTTTTCGGATTAAAATTTATTTTTTGTTATTTTTTTCAATTTTAATTTCTATTGGGCTTAAAAAAACACCCAGTATATAAGATACTCTGATAAAACAAATGACAATCTACTTGACATCATATGAACAGTAATCGTACCAAGTTAGAGCTTTCTTGAATGAATATTGGCTGAGATATTGAAATTTGCCAAAAAAAACTTACAATCAAAATAACTCGAAAACGAAAAATGCTAGGTACCAGTAAAATTTATCAAAGTCAACATATTTGTTCGCATACAATTAGAAGGTGCAATAAAAACTATAGCATTCCGTTTAAAATAACAAAGTTGAGGTCTACTTCCGGTTGATCGGAAGTGGCAACCATTTTGAAAATACTTTCGATCGAAAGATGAGCCATATAAGCTAAATTTCAGGAACGTTGATGCGATGCAACAAAAATAAAACGGGTGTTGCTGACTTTTTGGGGGACACTGTATACAGGGTAATTCAAATTCGACCCCCACAATTGGGATCTCAGAAACCATTAGAGATACAGAAATGGTTAAATGGGGGCAAAGTTGCGTATCTTAGAGCTCATCATTTTTCAACTAAGTTTTCGGATCTAGCCATTTTAGTTTTTAAAATATGACCGAAAATCAAAAAGATAACATTTTCGGTTTTGGCCTATAACTTTTTTATTTTTCGTGAATCTGAAAAAACATTTTTGAGGCAACTTGTTATGAAAAATGTCATCACATATACAGGGTAAGTATATGTATAATACACAGGTTGATTCACATAAGAACCGACACAGTGCAAGGACATGTAGAGCACAATAACATTACTACTTCATTTCATGTGGAATTTAATTCTAAAACTTTTCTTACTCGTATTATTTTTTAAAAAACTTTGTCTTTTCATAAAAAACTTAAATAACTAAAGACACGTATTTCATAATGTTACTGAGAAAATTTAGTAGTCGGCTATGAAATTGGAAAGGTTTTCTCACTAATTTTGGTGATTTTTTCTTTATCACTAGAAAATCATTATACCTAAACTAAATTTGCTTATGGATGATGTTTTTTTAGTTCATAATAAACAATTTATTCCTAAAAACTTTTCTCTATCACCTTTCATCCTTGAATTATGATCAATTTTAATACCAAAAGTGTGATTGATGAAAAATGATGATTTTCTCTTTTTATCATTAGAAAATCATTATAACTAAACCAAATCTGTTTATGACTAATGTCCTTTTAGTTCATAATAAACAATTTATTTCAAATAAACTTTTCTCCATCACCTTTAATTTTTGAGTTATGATCTATTTTAATACCAAAAGTACTCAATTTTGACATTTTGGTGATTTTTTCTTTATCACTAGAAAATCATTATAACTAAACCAAATCTGTTTATGGATGATGTCTTTTTAGTTCATAATAAACAATTTATTTCAAAAAAACTTATCTCCATCACAATTAATTTTTGAGTAATGATCGATTTTGATAACAAAAGTACTCAATTTTGACATTATGGGGATTTTCTCTTTATCACTAGAAAATCATTACATCTAAACAAAATCTGTTTATCAATAATATCTTTTTAGTTCATAATAAACAATTTATTCCTAAAAAACTTTTCGTCATCACCTTTCATTCTTGAGTTATGATCGATTTTAAAACCAAAAGTACTTAATTTTGACATTTTGGGGATTTTATCTTTATCACTAGAAAATTATTATGCCTAAACTAAATTGGTTTATGGATGATGTCTTTTTAGCTCAAAATAAACAGTTTATTCCTCAAATTTCGTACAATTTCACAGCCGACTACTGAATTTTCGATGATTTTAAGTAGATACGCGTCTTGAGTTTTTTGAGTTTTTTATGACAACGACAATGTTTTTTAAAAAATAGTAAGAGTAAAAAAAGTTTTAGAATTAAATTCCACATGAAATGACGTAATAATGTATTAAATCCACAAAAA